ATCGATGACTCCAAGTTCCTGGAGCTTTCTTCTCCAAGAACAGAACAGGAAATGATGCTTGCAAAATAACAACGACCAACATCCATCCTTCATTACAGATAGAAGATCTAAGATTCAAAACTCTGTAAACCCCGGATGGGTGGAACCAGATATAAACTATATTTAGTATTGGTTATAAATTGGATATTTTATCTCTATAAAATATTTAATATTAACCAATCACCATCCATCTAACTAACAACCCACTTATTTGTAAGTGCTGAAATTACTTGTAATTTCAGCACCAGAGAGCTTTGAATTTAACTTAGAAATTAGTTACCTCTCCAAGAGAACTTTAGCAATCGCAATAAGCCAGTATACTCTAGATCTATTAAGCCTAGCAGAGACTAGTTAAACACCCTGAGATTAGTAGATTTAAGAGTAAGATTAGGATCGGTATTAGACTAAGAAGTTGCACGAATCTATCCGGCCGAAAACAAGATAGCGTGACGAGCAGACGGTGTACCTTATCCGAAATTACTCTATGAGTTTTTAACTCATGTAGGCCCATCAACTCATTGAATCTAAACACAGTAATTCTAGACCAAGAAGTAGTGTTGTTTAAATTGAAATCTAGGTGAAACTTGAGTTTTTCTCAAATTGGAAATCTTATGAACAACTTATTCACGTTTGCTTATATCAAAGGTAACAATACGAATGGTTTTTTTTAATATGGAAGTCAGGCACGGGTTTTGAATTAATTTTGAAATATAAAACGGGTTAGTTCTAGATTACTCAAAATAGAGTTATCTTTCAGCTTATGAACAAATATGCAAGTTTCATTCTCCGTCGCAAATAACGTGTAGAAGTTTAGAAGCTGATAACGTGTAGAAGTTTAGAACGGTTCGGTATCGAAGCTGCTCTAATTTCATTTTTACAGCATCGTGTTTGCAATGATGGGAGAAACGATCTCTTTGTATTACAAAAAAAAGTTTTGGGCAACAACTGACGCAATATGTGGCTAAAACTCCGGTATAACATAGTCGAAACCTTTTCAACTTTTAAAACGAAAAAATTAAAGGATATTCATTTAAAATTGGAGTTGAGTTTGAAATCCAAAGTTCACACGAAAACAAGCAAATTGAAAACTTATTTTACCATCAAACGCGATGAATTGACTATAAAGATTGTGTAAACACTGATTTTTTTCTAAAGCAACAAAATAAAAAAATGAAAAAAAAATCAAATCGGGGCTGGTAAATGCGAAACCACAGAAACAATTTTCAAATCGAAAGCTTGTTTAAGATGCAGACATATACAATGTATGATATTATTGACAAAATCGTATAGTTGACAATGATTTTGTTCAACAATTTTAAAACATGCAAAAATGCAATAATCTGATTGGTTGAATCTTCCCAATCGCAAGCGCAAACATTAGATGGAGCATGTCACGAATATTTCATTCCAATTATAAAAATTTACCCAATAGCTTACTTTCCTTCTTGTTTTCGGTGAAACGACGAAAAAACGAATTTCGTTAGATATTTAATTACCTGCTAGTTTCAATGAGAATGGACTCCTTGTCTAGCTACAAAATGCTTGATGAAAAAACATCAGATATTGCGTTCTTTTTAATATTTCCGCCTTTCTGAGTCTCTCTGACCAGGAAAAACGACGCGAAGTTTTGCAGCGAATTTGATACCAAAAACTTGAAATGTTTTTGCGAAAAATTGGAAATCGCAAAATTTTGAATAAGAAAAAGTTTCGCATATGGGGAGAAACTTTATAGTCGGTTGTAAAATTTGTATTCGATTTTAGTTTTTAATTCTTTTTTTCCACGCAAAATCAAGTACCACAAGTAATCATCGAACTAGTCTAATCATATAACATATTGAAGCCCTTCCAGACGTGATTTTTGATTTTTGGTCTAATTACGAGCGAATAAGGCGAGCGAGCAGGCTAAATTATGCTTGATTTAAGCCGTGTACATTAGCCTGTTTGAGCCTATTTTAAATTTTGGAATCAAAAAATGAAACTTTGGGAATCATAAATTGTATTTTTTGAATTTTTTATTTATCTTTTTTGTTTTTCTAGTCAATTTTCTGCCAAAACTGTTTCCCAATTGCCTCTTCTAGTACACCTCTCGAACATGCCTAAGTTCTAGTTTTTCCTTTAGATCTTTTTATCACACCACGCAGAAAAAACGACTAACGAGACTAAACTGGAGAAAAAAAATTGCAATTTTTTAAGACTGAGGTCGAAACCTTCTGTGCTACTTGCAAGTAACCAACTATCCCTGTTATTTGCACAAAACAAAAAATCCTCATTGAATAAAATGGTTTCGCTTTTGGTCTTCAATTCGGACCAACATTTTGACTCGTTTCTCTCGATCACGCTCTACAAAAACCAGTACTTTTTCTTCCAAGATTCTGGAGCCAAAGGAAACTCGAACGGCTAACATTTCGCTCGTGTGTTGAAGGTTACTATTGCAGGATACGAAGGTTTGTTTTTGCAAATAATGTGGTACTTAGTAGAATTGTTTGTATATTTTATATGATTTGTCATTTTTTCGACCATTTGAAAAATGTGGAGGAACTTTGTATTAGGGTGTGTTTTATTTTTTTTCCACTTAAAACTAGGTACCATAAATGATCATCGGAATGGATTGAGTGATTACACTTCCATCAGCTTAGTGTGTTATTACGAGCCTTTTTTTCTAACCTAACTCGCAAATAGAAGTGTTCATTAAAAGTTTTCACTTATTTGGAAAATTTACTGTAGCTTTGGAAATTGCATAGCATCTGTTCTGTGATTTATTTGTGGCTAGTTTTTGATGTCTATTAACCTTCTGTGGCTGAGTGGTTAGTGTGTGAGACTCTTAATCTTTAGGTCGCATGTTCGAATCTCGGAGGTAGCCAAGTTTTTCTAAATCGAGGCTTATTTCTATTTTTTATTGCACGTAATATTGCTACTATTTTTTATTGCTGCTTTTTGTAGTGTTCTCGCAAGTGTTTGCGAAGCGAAGCTTCGCCTCTGCGGATATCATCTGAAATTTCAGTTGTGATTCGAACAACTGAACTTCTGTCCTTACCAGTTTCGAACAACTGAAAGCTTCGCCCTTTCAGGTGTGATTCGAAAGACATTTTAAGAATTCCAAAACTTTTTTTCCCTATGTTGAGAAAAACCGGTGTAAAATTTTTGAAATTTAGTTCAATTTCGAGAGTAAATCGTTCGATTAACGTTCGTTACCTAAAAATATTGCCCATTTGGGCTAAAACAAAAACTTGATTTTACTGAAGGAAAACTAGTTTGGAAGCTTCATTCAGCGCTTTCTCGGCCAGAAAAAATTTCATACATATTAAAAACTTTGTGCCAAAATTTTTTTTCCAGTTTTTGTTTTTGTATTTTTTGCAGACAATTGTAGTGATTTCTGCCTAATTCACTAAGTTTCTATGCGTTTGTTTAGTTCTATAATCAAACCTCGCATAAGAAACGAAGCTTATTGGATGATAAAAAAGTTTACTTTTGTAGGTTTTGAGAATGTGGTTGTAACATTCTGTGCTACTTGCACAGCAACTACCGGCTATCATTGTTTCACTTAACACAGAGGCGAAGTTGCACTTCGCGTACACAAGCAAAAACATGACCGACAAGACTACTGGAAAATACTGAATAAAAATTTGAGTCTACAAAATTCTTAAGTGACGCACGCCCATTATATGTCTACATAATTGCTAAGTGACGCAAACCAATTGTGACGCAATAGCAGTACCAGTCAATTTGAAAAAAAAACAACTATAATATCTCAATTTATAAAGCGGACGCATTTAAACTAGCATACTAAAAAGTTAATTAAAAAAGCCGACCCTGCCCAGCTTCGAACCCTCTTAGTTTGCTGCTGGTCTTCTTCCCTACCTCTACGCTGCAGACCATGTTACCTTGAAGCAAAAAAAAGTGCTTTTTGTATATAATAGTCCGTGTTTATATCCATAGCATTGGCTGTACTTGATAGCTGGACCAAAATGAACGCTTTCAAAATGAACACATTTTGTCGCAACAATTACATCGCATTAATTTTTGCGACTTAGGTTGGAAAAAAAGAAAGTTAATCAGTAATGCAAGCTATGCTTGTGTAATAATTGAACAAATGGAAGGAACTTAGGAGTGTGAAAAAGTTTTGTACGCTTAACCCGATGCTGATGGTGTACACTTTGCCGACTCGCACTGTTTATAAGATATAGACGAAGAAATTTTTTCTCAATTGAACTTTTTCTCAAGGAAACGGTGCAAAAAAGACAATGTAAGATTGGTTAAAACAAACTTAAATCCTCAATAAAAAAATAATAACTCGCCATTTAAGAAAAAACAAAAGCGAAAGCTCAAAAATGAAAAGCTCACAAAGCGAAGAAAACTGCTAGTCAAAAGTTAAAGCATGCAAAATGCATGGGTATAAAAATCTAACACTGTAAAACAAAACACTACAAGATTAAAACAGGTGAAATCAAAGAACTGAAAAATAAACCCTTGAAGAACTTAGACATTTTCGATAGTCATAGTAAAGTTGGCAAACAGTTGTCCAAAAGACAATAAAAGCAAAAAAAAATCATTAAAAAATCCCTTTTTTTTGCAGAAATTTAATTTTATTTTGAAATTTTTGATTCGCAAAATGGCGTCAAAAAAGCTCCAAAAGCTTACTTCACTCCAGTAAAACTAAATATTAACGGATTAAATTATTCATGATTAAGCTATAGTAATTTCCACTGCATAAATAAGCCTGCTCGCTCGCTTGTCTCGCTCGAAATTAGACGAAAAATCAAAAATTTCAAGCCGGCTTTTCTCGACACTGGGAATGTTTTTGAAAATTTTTTAAGTCGTTCAAATTATGACTAAAATGGCTTTAAGATGATATATGACTCAGCCCAGTCCGAAGATTGTTTGTGGTATTATTTCAACATTTAGGACGTAAGCCTTCATCTTACACTTCAATGTGATGGCTTGGTAACCATTATGAAAACAAAGAATCTAAAAGAGCTAAATTCCAAAGATAACTTCCATTAGAACGACTGACTAACATTAACAAATATTGGATCAGAATTAGCAAATAGCAAAAAAAAATCAACAAGAATAAAATTACAGGAATTTATAAAGGAAGTATTGATAATAAATTTGAATATGTATTATTGTTGAACATCGCAACACGATGTGATAACATTCATAATTTCAATTCAGAATAATTCAATTCACCCATGCAATTAATTGCAACATACTTTTGAGACAAGCATATTCTAAATTTACAGACAAAACTCAATTTACAGAAATTATCAGACAATGTCTTTCAAAGTGCATAACATACTTGTTGCACTATGAGTGGTAAAGTAATAAAGAGGAGAGTTCTAAGGAGCAGTTTAGTTAACCCATAGCCCAGATCATAATACCAATCAGAAACTGATTCAAATTTTGAGTGGTAGTGATAGCACCTTAACACGGTCGTAAAACTTCTGGACCTCAGATTTTAAAGTTTGTTCAAAATCAGCCCAAAAAATTTTCAGGTTATTTCACGCTTTTTTTTAGAAGTTTTTTACTTTTAACAAATTTTTAAAGGATATTTACTTCTGATGAACATTTTCCAGAAAGATTTACGCCGAGTTTTCTGAGCCAGGAAAGGAAAAGGTATGGTTATTTTAAGTATTCGATTTGTTTAGACTCAATTAAGAGGGAATTTCTTTTTTTTTGCGAACTGGGAGCATAAAAATTACAAATGAACATCTAACATTCATAGCACAGTTGACTGGGTAAATTATTTCATCTAGGCAAAAATTCGAATGAGAATCAACCAGGGTCAGGCCAACAATTATCTGGCGTCTATTACGATGATATGTTTCATGCAATAATTTTTAAACCACCAATTTAACTGTTTAGCCTTTTAGAGCCATAAAATTAAACAATAAAAATTGAGATTCCAATTTCCTGCATTAAATACTTAACAGAAAGATACTTAACAAAAAGTCAAAAACATCTAAAATTTTTTAAACAATTTCTCATGTTATTTCAATCTCGTTACAAATGAAACCTCCGATACTAAAAACAAAGTTATTCGCTTAATACTTGCAAAACGCATCACAAAGACTTGTTGACCTGCCACAGGGTAATTCATTTTGAACACACATCAGATTTCAAATTACAATTAATATTTTTTCAGTTACAATTAATTAATATCTCAGCAAAATCTGTTTAAATCTGAGTTCACAGTCGATGATTTGAAGGTGTGTTTATAAATCACCAAAAAATCGGCTGATTACACATTATATTGCTCAGTGAAGGTTCTCAATCTTCTCAGTAGTCAATTCTAGTGAACAAATAAATCAGCAGAGAAAAATTTATCGTAGACAGATGAGGATCAATTAACTCAAATGTCGAAGTGAAAAAGTGAACGTTTGTGACCGTCGTGTGCTTTTGCCGCTGTGTGACAAAATGATTGCACATCAGTTAAATTCTCCATTTTTCGGGCATCATCTTCTTCATAATTATTAATAAAGTGTACCTGTGACAAGTACAGTGTGTTTGTGCAGATGCGTGTGTGTCAAGAATTACATGCTTCGACTGTTTTCAGTCCTTTTGTAACTATCCATCAATTCGTTTCCCGTTCGAGTTAGCGTCCAGGTAGAAGTGGGAGAGCAGGCTGGGTGAGGGGGGGGGGGTGTGTATGTTGATCTAGGAGGAAAGGTCTTAAGTTTCTGTCTGGGTAAATGAGAGGGGGGTAAAGCACGTTATCTTGTGTCAATCAGCAACTGCATCCACCTTGTGCCCCCGCGTGGTTCTGACTCAGTCTGGTGCCCTGGCCCGCATCTCCTCCCGGACCTCCGGCTGCTTCTAATGACTCTGCCATTCTCTCACAGATGATGTCTACTAGTCGGTCAAACACTTCTTTCACATTGACATTTTCCTTAAACAACGTCAAATACTCAACAAGGATAGCTGGTAGCTGTGCAAGTAGCAATGAATGCTCCAACAAAAACGATTTGAGAAAAAAATTCAAAAAAAAAACAAACACTGAATTCATCTTTGATGTCTTCAACAGATATCAACAGATAATATAATTGATTAAACAAACCGTTCACGTTACAATACTTTGTACCTTTACCTGAAAAAAATGTATGTAGATTGATGTTGTTACCTTGGCGCTTGTCTCGAAGAACTCGATGTTGAGCTGGTCAGCCAAATCTCTTCCTCTCTGTGCTTTTACTATTCGCTCAGCATCCATGTCACATTTATTCCCTACCAGAATGACCTGCAACACAACCACAAAAGTTGATTAGGTCTTCCGGCTCTTTTTCCAATTCCCCTCACCAGCGAATTTTCACTGTAGTTTCTCTGTACTCATTGTACAATTGCTACAAATTTTGACATGCGGACTAATTAGGCTATGACAAACATATTTTGTCTTCATATCTAACCTTGCAAAACTCCTCGTTACGCCAGAAAATTGATGCTTATGTGAGGTGAGGTGTGGGGGGGGGGGGATCTTCCAAAAATTAATGAAAATTTCAAGTGGCAGGAATAAACATCCCACATTCCACGATGTCCGAATTACAAATATTCAAAAAAATTTCAAATTCAATGTTGGATATAAAAAAGTAGCTCTGTAATCGAATAAACAACCACCTTCGAAGCAACAAAAAAACTAGCAATAAATTCGTTTTCAAGAGGATAAAAAGATATAATCCCGAAAAACAATGAAGATTGTCCCTTCAAATCTTACCAGAACACCTAAAACGACTTCAAATATGACAATAGTAAAGGTAGGTTGACCTGTGCGTTGTCCCAGGAGTAGGTTTTGATTTGTGTGGACCAGTCCTGAACTGAGACGAAGGAGTCGTCATTGGTGATATCGTACATGAGGATGAAGCCCATGGCCCCCCTGTAGTAGGCAGTCGTTATAGTCCTGTATCTCTCTTGGCCAGCCGTATCCTACACACAAACACACACAACTTTGGCTCTTTTCCAGTTTCCTTCCCCCCTCGTAAAATTTCAAAATACAGCTGCTCAAAAATTGTTCACACGGCATTTTGCATGCACGAAATGTTGTGAAAATTTGTCCACCTGTTCACGCTAACACGTTTTAATACAGAAAGGGGTCAATTAAAATGCGCCCTTCCGTCAAGCGACGGTCCGTGCACAGATTGGATAGGGCCATACCAACGTCGGCAAAATTTAATGAAAAAATCAAGCCGACTTTAAAGCATCCAGAGAGTTGTCAATTAAAAACTACCCTCCTCGATTTTAGGGCTGATGGAATTGTCAATGTTGTATGTTTTTTTTTAAGTTTTTTTTGCACCCCTGAGGCAGAAGATTGCACTCCTCAGAAGTGCAAAACTTATTTTAGTTCTTACAAAGTTTATTCTGTGTTATTGCTAACACGTTTTAATGCATTTTATAACATGAAAAGTTAGTTTAAATAAGTTTTCATATATTAAATTTCCGAAAAAACTTAAGGGGGACTGGAAAAGAGCCACAACTTCATTGGATGTTAACAACCTCCCTCCTCCTCCCTTTTCAAAAGGAGCAAAACTCGGCACATGGTCAAATTTCCATAGACATTTAGGCTTAACCGTTGGATATTTTTCATTATCAGGGTATTATTCGCTACTAAAAACAGATATCAAACCCCAATCACCTTTTTCCAGTTTTTCTGAAAACCAAAATTGATCACCACGTTCGGTATAATTTTTAAAAGTCTTATTCATGACATGAATTATCAATCACATTATTATCATGAAAAAGCAGTAAATTAATGCCAGAATTGGTTAAGTTTAGAGCAACCAAATAAGGAAATAATTCAAGATTTGTGACTCATCACAGCTTAAATAACTCTTTTCTAGGATGAAACATTATAAAAGTGATCATTACGCCAGAAAACTGACCCGGAGAATTGTTTTTTACGTATATGAAGACCTGAATCAGACTTAAACTAGGAGGGGGAGGGGAGGGTGTGTGAGGTTTCGAAGAACTCGCATAATGAAAGAAAAATTCAATTCAATTAGAACCATCTGAAACCTCTACGAGATCCCGTTCGTTGAAGAGTGTATGCAGAAAACCGATAAAAGTAATTTGTGAGTATATCGTATATAAAAGACTCTGGCTCATTTAGCTCCCCCCATCCCCCACCTGCAAAATTTTACAAGTAAAAATTTGTTTACATTGTCCGATTGTTATGAAAATTGACATACGGACTACTTAGATTTTGACAGACATATTTAGTCTTCATAATTAACCTTGTTAAACTACTCGTTGCACCATAACATTCATGTTCGTTTACGGGGGGGGGGGGGTGAAGGAAAAAGAGCCGACTCTTTAGACCTGGAAATGTAATTTAGAAAGAGTTTGCTGGGTGGAATGAAAAGTTGGAACTGACCCATATCTGAAGCTTGACTCTCTTGTTATTGCGCACCACCGTCTTCACTTTGAAGTCAATGCCGACGGTTGACACGAAGGCGGAAGTAAAGGAATCGTCGGCATATCTGAACAGGAAACTCGTCTTCCCTACCGAAGAGTTGCCGATGATGAGGAGTTTGAACATGTAGTCGAAGTTCTGGTCGCCCCCAGCCACCCCTCCCCCGCCCCCCGCCGTCACAGCTCCACCCATTCTACTATCGCCCATCTGAAAAAAAAACAGTAATGAATGATAAGACATGCTTTTTATGAAAAGTCTTTTGTTGGCCCCTCTCAATCCTGGTAGTTGAATTTTTACGACTGCCATTTGTAACTGGAGAACCCTTCAAATTTAATATAATGGACAACATTAAACAATTTTGCACTGAAGCTCTGGCTTATCATTCTAGGGCTTCAGCAGAAGTCGAACACATCTGCTGATTTAAGAAAAGGTAGACAAAAAGTTTCAAAAGACCGCCACCTCCCTCTAAAATTACGCTATGTGGTAAACTGATAGATTGAACACACAAAAAAACTGGAGAACCAAGTTATGTCATTTATCAAAATGAGATACAGGATGTTTCTCCTCTAAAGATTTGAATTGGCGAAAAAAATTAGAAAAAAAACTATATTTACTTAACAGCAAATCAAGTACGAAAGTTACGTCTGATAATGTATAACGCAACAATAGGGGAATATATGCTGCACTTCGCATACAAGCGAAACTAAATAGAAACATTAACAGCCTAACTAGAACAAATGAAAAAAAATTACATAGCGTGTGGGGGACTTTTTTCAAACAACCCACACGATATATTGTTTCTTGTTACGAACTAAAACCAAAAAAAAACTTGATTTATAATAATTTCTGAGCCGAATGATTCGCCACATACGCTAGAGTTAAAAAAAAATTGGTAAAAATGCAACTTTCAAATCCCATAACTTTTCCTTTCGAAAAATGATCACAGATGGTATAATTTGAGCAGAGAACAAAACTCTACTCCAGATGGTATGAAAACGAGATAGCTTGTATTTTAATCACCATCATTGATAGCTATTTAACATGGATATTCTGTAATAGAACAGTTTACACAAGCTTAATTTCAACGTATTTGTAATATATGAATTCACCTTTGTCAAACATTAGTGAGTGACGCATTTTTGAGTTCAGAAAAATGGGTCAACTGGTAATATAAGAAAAAGGCTGTAAATAAGCTAGCGTACAGTAAACAACTGAAAACGTAGATTGAAAAAACGATGCATATACAAAAAAGTCCCATACAAACCGGCTCTAAATTTCGTAGAGTCCTACCCTCTGTTGGCAAGCTCGCAACAGGTTGACGCGACTGCGGTGGTCACTATTTTGTTGTTTACGTTTGTTGAACAAAGGACAATTCTCGGCTTACCGGCTTGTAAAAACAATTACTACTTGGGATTGTTTTTCGGACTTTTTTGCACCGGACTGTTTTTTCGTTCATTTTCATACTTTTCCGGACTGTTTTGTATTGGACTGTTTTGTACAGACACGGAAAAAACGAACATTTTTCAACTTTCGAATATCTAAGGAATCAATATGACATGTTGAAGCTCTTCGAATTGCACTTCTTTTCTTGACGTTATCCCATTTAGGGAAACTGGATCACTAGGTAACCGTTTTAATCAGCAGGGTTTCAGAAAATTAAAATCCACTTGTGAAACTAGAAGACATTTTGCTCTTAAATAGATTTCATCCAAATTTTGGACAGCTTGATAACCTAGGTACAGGCCAGTGATATAAAATATTCGGATAATCATTTGAAAACGCTGATGCTGGAGTAATTTGAGACAAACCCTTCTATACAAAATCTGCAGCATTCTATTTCTAATAACGGGTAATTATCGACTTGTGAAAACATTTCAATGTAAAATGCCAGCAACACAACAATTTAAGGTATATTGAAAATCTGTCATTCAAAATCAAATAATCAAAAAACAAAAAAACGAGCGCCAACAAATGTTGGGACTTACAAACTAATTTACCCTAATTCACTCTTGCCTTCCTTTTAACAAGAAAAATGAAGTGAACTTACAAATAAATCAAAATTCAAACAGCGAAAGATCAAACTTTAGCGTGAGCAAAATTTAGAACTTTTTCCTGAAAAAAAAACTAACAAAAAAAATCACCCAGACCAATATAAGACTCTTCAATACGTTCATTACTCTTAATTATGTTATAAAAAACTTACCAAAACCATCAGAGGCTTAAGAGCCTATCAACGAATTCATACCGAATATGTTCTAGAGGTAATGATTGAAATAATGCAAATGGTATTTGTTTGACTTTAAAGTTAGAACTAAATTTAATCGAAACTCAACACGATAGAGAAAGATACAGATACTAAGATATGCCAAGTAAGATTTAAAATAGAATAGCTGACTTGTAATGGGAACAATAAAAGGGATATCCGGCGAAAAAACTAAGGAGATAACTGACTTCGAATGCTCCAACTCCAAATATGGTTTAAGAATAATGTGACGCAGTTTCAGTCAAATGTTTTTTAAATCGTACATGTATTTGGCCGAGTTCAAGTAGCGAAGGAAGTTTGAAATACTTGAGAGAAGATATGCAACAGACGGTCTAGAGATCAGAACCGACTAAATAAAAAGGAAATTGACAAAAAAAAAACCAGAAAGAAAAATGATAAGAAATTTGTGAAGTGTGTTGTTGGATAAAATATACATATAATGATACATTGAGAGCGATATAAAAACTGAGAGGCAACAGTTCCTTTTATAGTTGCCTTTATAATGGAAGCAATACCAACTTCATTGTAAAAGCGAAAAAAAGAACCAGATTCGAAAAATATCCATCATCACCAATTCAGTTATCAAACTACATAATTATAAATACATATTGTTGAAAATGCACCATGTGGGGTATTAGAACTACAGGGAAACTACCATTCACCATATATGATATGGAAATACTGTGGCTCAACATAATACCAAATGGATCAGGAACAAAATCAACTGATGCGAATTGAACTGAAATGATACTAAATGAAGCGTACAGCAAGAATAGACAAAACGGAAAAAGATCGTCACATTTCACTTTACTCAAGTGGTGGTTTTAGGACACATTGCTAACGGGGGTGCGGTTTTAAAAATAAAAACGACAGAAATTCAATTCAATTTAAGGCGGCGATTTCCACAAGCAAATCTTTCGATATTCAAAAGCAATTCAAAGCTCAATTCAACTAATCTGCGGTAGTTAACTGTGGGTCAGTTTAACTGCGGCAGCCTAATCTGGGTGTCACTCGGTATTTCTAATAAAAAAAGAAGTTTTACCAATATCAAAGTGTTAACACGTGCGATAAAAAAATGAATGACCATCACTACTTACAGACAACCTGACACAAAAAATAAAAACACTTCAAAACTATTTGTTACATGCAAAAAAATCCAAAATCTTGGAACTTAATTGCCTGCACGAAGGCAAAGCAATGCTTGACAATAGTAGCTATACAGCAAAAACATAGCGTGACTAACGAACCGACAGACACAGAGATAAAAAAAACCTTACAAAACCCTAAAAAAAATCGAAATAATTGATCTACCAAAAGTTTTCCTTTTTCCTTGTCTTGATTTTCTTCTAAATAAAAACCCAGGAAAACTCTTACAAAAAGCGAAGAAGTAAGACAATTGAATGCTAAATAAGCATCAAAACAAAGCAAAAGAGACACACGTTGAGCCGAAAAAACTGTTTCTGTAAAAAAAACTTTAAAACTAAAACAAGTTTTTATGCCCCTCACAAAACATTTAGATATAACCTAGTTTTGCTTATCAAGTGACTCAAAAAGAGGTTTCTAAGCCAAGATTTTATAAACCAAACCTTTTAAGACGAATAAAAAGAAAACCAAATAAAAAAAGATATACTGAACCTGAAGTTGGTGAAATTACAACGACCATTGGAAAAATCAAATAGAACCTGCATTTAAATCAAAAATAAAATCGAAAATTGTCTGTTCCTTTAGGAAAGCACAGATGGAGATGGCCAAATTTCATGCATCATAAGAACAAAATTATTTTCGCGAAAAAAGTCAAGCACCCGATTGCAACACACTTGCTTATCGCAAGAGAAATAACTATTTGAAACAATAATTGCTCAAATGTTTTCAATTTTGTTTCTATTGGGTCCTGACCTGAAATTAACCTTCAGCTAAATGTCAAAGTGAAATAACCATACTAAAAAAGAGAAAACGAATTTTTTCTATTTCTTATAGTAATCATTTATCTATAACAACAGAAAAATCGCGCTACACAAACTCCATTCGTTTCTCTCTCATAACCAAGAGATGGAAACGATTAAAAAACGAAATTGGGCGAAATAATTGATTTCAAAAAATAGCACAAAAATTTGCTCGAAATCTTGGAACTAACAAAATGGATGTCCATCATGATCATTTGGGTATATCAAAAGGCTTTATCCTATGCTCACTGTAATGAGATCAAAATTAAACAAAAAAATTGAAGAACGAAACTTCAAAACTTTCGTTGCAAGCTAGCCAATCAAAAATGAGACAAAAATAACGAAATCCAAGCAGCCACTAAGCCGACAAAGGGAAATATTTCAGAGAAAGTCGAACAACACAACCACCAGTATTAGATAACTTTTTAGTATTTTCCGAGCAGCCACTCAGCCGACAACAAGCTCGTAGATGCCCTTTGAGCCGAAAACCAAAAAATTTATTAAAAAAAGTTGTTTTTAAAAAATTTCGACCGACTATGAAGCCTTGCGAAAAAAAACTAGCTTCATCAATCACTTTTTACCTTTGATGCAACACATAATGTAGTAACAAGCCCGATTAAGTATAAGCCGAGACCATTTGAGCCGAATATAGCTTTTAAGCAAAAAAAAACAAAGGAAAACCCAGGAAAATAAACAACGTCAGGTCCGATAATTTTACAAATTACAGGAGTGAAATAAAAACATTTACATTTATGATGAAATTGCTGGCAGCACAAAAAACTTCCCGATTTGGCAACCGAGCCGAAAGAAAAGATTAGCAGACAAACGCTACTCCGACCATTCTATTTATCCCGAAAATTTTTTCAAATCTCAATTTCATACCTACTGACAAAAACAAGCGCCGGCCAGGACTCGAAGCCTAGATCTAAAGATAAAGACAACTGTTCTGATTTCATATTGAGACATAGAAATTATTGGGCTCAAAAGTGTGACGCCACTGCCATCATAAATTCAATCAGTTTATATCTTATTGCAAAATCAATAGAAAACAGTGCTTAAAGTATTTGGAATAACTCGTATAACGTTTAAAGAATTGGAATTAAAAACGACTTTTCTCGTGAAATACGAATGTACGAACGACTTTACTCGTAAAATACGAATGTTCGAATGACTATCACGAGAGATAACGAACAAACTAACCTCTCATTTGCTACAAATTGAGAGATTTCTCGAAAGAGTATAAAAAGAGGATGAAAACTACTGAGATTCAATCCATCCATTTTCTCTTAAAACACCCTAAACTTTTTCTCCTAAAAAAAACAATTTCTTTCAAAACTTTAACCTAAATATCTTCAATCCAACCCTTAAAACTTAAAATCGAGTCTAAAAGCAACTTGTAGTAAATTCATACAAATAAAATAAATAAAAGTCCAGTGGATTTTAGATTTACTAGAAAGGACCCTATATTACTAGCAAGCGTTTTGTCCGACGTATATGAGTATTGCTAACGTAAAACGACCGTGTTATCTCAAGGCCAACAGTAATGGGGTCTCAAGTTGCTGAGGTTCACTAATCAAACAACTTCACAATTTTGTCCTGTGTTACTTACTGTCTGAACTGTAACAAAAAGTTGTTTAAGGGCAACAAGTGTAACTTCCGATTAGAAGAAAGTTAATCTCGCAAGCGTAAATCAGAATTCGCAAAAACTTATAAAAACTTTGAAAGCATCAACACTCTTGAATAAATGCAGCGCTCTCCAAATGCCTTTCGCGGCATGAAACAAAAAAACTCACTAATTAAAAACGAAAAAAAAACACATTTTTCCAGAAATTTGTGGATTGAATTCTATAACTTTTAAAAATATCTTAAAAATTCGCAGAGAATCACCTTGGATTCTTTTGAAAAGAAATTTCTCAAGCTTATTATTACGCTAAGTTGTTTAAAACTAATTAACCTCACTTTCAAACAAAACAAAATGAGAAACCATTCATCCGAAACAAAATAAAAATTAAACCCAAAAAAATCTAGCCGAAACATTGTAAACTTTTTTCTTTACAGAAAAATTTAGCCTGTTAAAAAAAGAAATATAATCGCGGTCTTCAACATTGAATTGAACAAAACATTATAAAACGATTCAGCACAATCATAGCAAGGCAAACTTATTGACAAAAAATGAAACAAAAACCGCATAAAAAATTCCCGTTTTTTAAAAAAAATTCGAAAAAATCTACCGAATTTTGATCTTTTTCTCGAATGTGTTTTCCATAATGGCGTTTCAAGAAAACTTGCCAATAATTTCAATTGAATGCTTGTTGACTTTAAAAAAAACTCTGAAAGAAACTTAAAAAAAAAGTTTTTTAGTCTCCCCACAAAAACTGAGGCATCAATCTTCTTTTGCTCATCAAACTTCTCAAAACGAGGCTGCTAAGCTAATAAAACACTCCGTAATCTTTCTAGTCGAATAAATAAAAACAAAAAATACTGAAATTGGAGCTGGTAAATTTATACCAATTAAGAAAATCGAACGGAACTGGCATTTAAAAGCTTTTCGTATGCCCGCTTTTCGTATGCCTGGTTAAATCATCTCTAGTTTCGCTCCTCTGAGTTTCATAACCTTAGCGACCTTAATTCCGATTTTTTTTTTGGGGGGGGGGGAGGGCTCGCCAATTTTGTCAAATTCTATTTTCTGGCATAGGGTTGACGAATTCTGCCTAACTCGAAGAATTCTGAGCTCGACCCTTTGTTTGCAGTACTACTTAATCAATTTTACGCTCATCTTACCATTAGCCTTACTATACTGCATGCAAGTCCGAATGTAATACATTCTACATTCAGTTCTTATTTTGTCAAAAGTGTGGTAGGATCACTGATCCTAGAGTTGAAGGCACAGAAAATCGGATGAAAAAAAAACCACCCGACGCCATATATCCTTGCCAGTCTTTTGAAAGTGGCCAGAACAAAAACGTAACTGTAAAAACATCAAAATGAAAAACTGAAATAAAGATATAGTTTCTACTGTAAAAATTTGATGTTAATACCTGCACAAACGCTCATAGTTAACTTGGGGGAACAAAAGTAACACAGCCGAAGCTAAGCTTCGTCACAGTTGCAACACAAAACAAACATGGCATTGCACGCTAGGAAAAAACTACTAAAAGAAAAAATTAATCGTTGCAAAAAATAACGAAATTTTCTTGATTTAACCAGATGATTTAAGTTTCAATAACAGGAAAACAGTCAAGAAGTGCTAGAACGACCACAAACAATCAGCATCATTTACCAAGCGATCACTTATTCGACAATACTTGGTAACGTTCTTGTAAAGCCGAAAACAAAGTTGCCATCAAAAACCTATCTTGACAGAATTATTTTGAACTAAAAATTCAATTTATAAAATTCAAAGATGCCCCCTACAATTGCAGACGAAATCTCTGGTAAAATACGCATGTTAAAATATACAAAATATATCTAGAAACAGTTTTGCTCTTGAAACGGCGACAAAAAAGATGACTAACGGAAATATGAAATTTTAATGTCGAAACTTAGCTTTATTAAACAAAGTTTTTCTACTCAGAGCTGCTCAAAATACCTGAAAAAAACTTAGACTGTTTAATTCTGCTTAGATTTTTGAATTTGCACGATTCAGTTAAAACGCGCGATGAAAAAAATGTCACTAATATTCATTTGCTGGCACTGATATGGCACTGACAGACCACGCTTTGCACTGATACCGTCGCCACATTGCAGAAGCAAATAAAATCCGTTGGGAAGTCTGAACATTAAAATCCACTTTCGAAATTAGAAGTCGATAACTTTTTCGGGACCTTTACAGTGTTGTCGTTCGATAAAGAAGTTTTTTTGCTTTTTAACAAAGGAAATGAACTGAATTCAAAAGATAATCCTGTCAATACGCCAAAAAAGTAAATTTGAGCCTGAACTATGCAAGAGTCTTCGCTACGTTCATCAACTCTAAACACAGCCAACTGACAGTTGGGAAAGAGTAATGAACGCAAAAAAACTGAAAAAAAAATAGTTTTGTTTTTTCAAAATCTTTTAACTTTTGAATTTCGAAGTATAGAGCAAATCTAAGATTGTAAAAGAGTAAAAAACGCTAGTAGACAAAAAAACACTGACTTTTTTTTGAAAAAATCTCACCTTTCGAATTTCAAAGAAAAAAATAGATGCCATTTAAGCTCTTTGAAATTCTAGAACAATTTATGATCAGCGCTTTATCTGGACCAATAGTTAAACTTTTTAATCCGCTGGAAATCTAAAAATTAAATTCCACTATTGAAACTAGAAAAAACCTGAAAAAGAAAGCAAAAAAAAACAGCAAGACCTATATAAAGAGTCTTCACTACGTTCATTACTCTTAAAAAAAAACAGATAGCCTTAAAACTCTTTCAATTCATCGAACACTTTATGCTGGACACTTTTATATTAAAATTAATCCAATTTGAGAAAACAGGATCAATAGGTAAAACTTTTACTTCTCTGGGGAACCTGATAATTATTTCCATTTTCGAAATTAGAAGTCGATCACGCTTTTCGTGGCTGTTCGATAGGGGATTTTGTCTTCCTTTTAACAACGGAAATGCACTGAACTTAAAAAGAAATCACAAGTCAATCCGCGAAAAAATCAAAATTAAGCGTGAACAAATTTTAAGACAAAAAATCACCAAGACCTACATATGAGTCTTCACTACGTTCATTACTCTTAATAAGCCGAAACCATCAATGCAAAAACGCAACAAAAAGACTTATTCAAATTCAGACTAGGTATGATTACAAGTTACAGAACGACATTCAATTACAGTAATACAGAAGAAAAATTCATGCTTTGGAACTTAAGCAGACAAAAAAAAATTCCAGAAAAAAATATTTGAAACAATTAAAAAATACAAGGTCCGGTCTGAATTGAAACTCAAAAGCTTTTAATCCAAAACAACTCGCTTTACCACTAGACAAAATGTTACTGGGCCTAGAAGATGTCGAGGTTCCATAATGAAGCAGGTCCAATTTATTATTGATAAATGGGATGAACAGAATTATTAATAAATGGGAAAGTCTAGTTCCCGATTTTAAGTCACTTGCTCTTGCAACTAGTGAAGTATATTGAAATTAATGCAATTGCCATGTAAGAAAAACTACTCTTTGCGTGAATATAGCCTACAGACCTTTGCCACGGCGTTTATAAACTGATAGAATTTTCATTGACTTTGAATTTCACAGATTAAGATAATCAAACTTTTCTAAACGCTTTTTTAATTTTTCAAAAAATTCTTTAAAATTCATGATTCTTTTATCGAAACTTTTTCTTTTAATATCAATCCACGTAGAGAAAATTGAAAAAAAGCTGGGCAGTCTTTGAATTCTATATAATCAAAAATTACTTGAAAATAAAACCCACTAGTGAAACTTAAATTTCCTGAAAGCGAATGTTAAATAAAACGAAACGGCAAACCAAACCTCTCGCCGTTAGCGCTGGTCTCGAGATTTCAGTTCTCCAACGCGAGATCTCGGTGAATCATTCATGTGCGTGACAAAAATTGTCAACAAGGAAAAAATGCTAGTTCGCTCGGAGGTGAAGCGACTATTTTGGAAACAGTCATCAAATCAAATTCAAAGTTTAAAAAAAGCCCGGAATTACAGAAACCAACTTTTTACTTAGCCTCTAGTTGTTTCATTAACGTCTAGACCGTCTAGCAGTTTAACTAAAGCAAAAAAGTTCCATAGAACTTTGCACTAAAATGTGCGAGCTGCGTGCAGTAGATTGACCGTGTTACACTACGCTCGCATGATGGCTTGTCAAAGCAGTGGAGATCTATTTTGGGGATTTTTCAACTTACTTTTTCAACTTAATTTTTTAACTTCCTCTAGAGGTTTTGATTTGAAAAAAAAAGATTAATTTTAAATAGCTTGAATTATAATATGAACCATTGAATTCCTTCATGTGTCAACGTCAGTGGCTTTATAATAATAGTACATTAGAACTAATTTGAAACAATAAAAAAAAACGAGATGGTAGCATATGAATTGACTTTGAGAAGACTTCTCAAAGAACATGAATTGCGCAACTGGATCAGCTGTTGTCTGTTGTTTGATTATAGATCCATAGTTGTATTCCATTCAAATTACACAACAAAAACACTTTTTAGGGATACGTCAGCTGTGTTATTGAGGCGCAGCATTGTCGAAGGACAACAACATCCCTCTTGGATCTTCAAATTAGTACCATTGGTACATTGCGTCAGATTATGATGATCAAATCCGGGATATTTCTTCTTGTTATGATCTCCTTGTAGAACAAGTCTTTTCTAAACGGTTAAGCAGTCGCACATTGCTGTACTCTAGGACCCCCCGCGTCATCGTCACTGTCTGAGTCGCCTCCTGGGCCCCCGAAGGGACTACTGTGGGCGTGGTGGTGGGCGTGAGCTCCATTGGCCTCCACGTCATATTCCATCATGTCCACGTCTTCTAGCACTCCTTCTGGTCCATGAGGTGTCATGTCGTAAACTGGCCGAGCAGGTAGAAATTTCTCTAGTTTCTAAACAGACGCCAAATAAATGGGGAACAGTGATGAAAAAAGCCTAGATCTCTGCCTCTCAACCAAAAAAATGTTGGTTTGAAGTCCTCCGTGATCCGTGGTCATTGCTAGAGGGTGAGATATGTTTAGCCGAGAAAACAGGGTCAAAGGAGCGGTTCTCCGAGAAGAATTGAATAGCTGGTATCATTGGAACTCTTCCATTTAAAATCCTAAAAAAACTCCAAAATTTTCTACTAAGCCGAAGCTGCAAACACGAGGAAGGAAGCCGCAACAAGAACCTCCGAAAAAGCAAATAACTAGAAAAAAAACAACTAAGTCTTAACAAATAAAACTTTTAGTGAACCGGAATCTAACCTCAAACCTAGAGATTAGGACCCTCACGTCCTCGTATCTGCGCCACGATCGATTGAAATTATACTAACCTAGCTACCAATAGAGAAGCTACAGTTGCTATTAAATTGCCAATGCTTTGCAGCAAAACTGCCACCAGAGAAAAGTAAAACAAGTTCTTTGTGCCGGAATTGCACCTCCGACCTCCATATTATGGGTCTCATGTAATAACATTTGCGCCACGGTCTATTGAAATTATACTATCACTAGCCATCAATAAAGCAGCTATAGATTCTCTAAAAATGTCAGAAATTGGGAAAATCCCAAAAAGCCACCAAATGAGCACTTTTATTTGCGAGTTCCGTTAGACAAAAATGATTCGTAATATAACACCACGCTCGCTTTTAGAAACCGACCAGCTTTAAGAAAAAAGCATCCCAAAAATTAGGAGAATTGAAGCATCGCAATAAACCTAAGAGAATAAAACAATTAAATAGTTCCTCTAAAAAATCAACCACAGGAAATTGAACAAACCAATTCAAAACACAACGGCGAAGCAGCGCTTCGCACCACTTGCGATGGAAAAAAATATGTCCAGGAAAAATTTTCAAAAATGAGGTTGGAAAAAAATTTGAAAATTAAACAAGCAACAAAACCAATTTGACTCCAACTGAAGTTTTAAACCTCCCAGCGATATAGAATACACGCGATGAAATTATTTGTAAACAGCACACTGATGAAATAAACGAATTCTTTTTTTTTTCAGATAATACAAAATACAATAACCGAATAATTTTATATCATTTGCAAGAACCAAAACAAGTAAGATTAAACAAACGCCACACATTACCTGAAAAAATTGCTCAAAAAAACTCGAATCAAACAAAAATGTAAAAACAAGGAGGAGACGCTACTGAGGAGAAACAAATGATTTTAAAAAGTTCTGCGCTAAAAACAAACGCCAATTTTAATTCCTAAGAACAAGAAACCCCGGTCAGACAGAAACAAGGTTCAAAGAAAGGTAAGGTTAAAAAACTTTTAAAAAAAATGCAATTAAGCTAATATTGATTAAAAAAGAAAAAAAAGTCGTATCATTGAACCATTTATAAAAACGAACGAACACTTTTAACACATTGAAACTACTTTAAACTAAAGGAACGCAACAAGTTAATCAGTAAAAGTAGCAGACAGCAATTCAAGTTGACAGAGTAAAACAACAAATGCGTCTAGCAAATTTGAAAAAAATTACCAAAAATTTTAGTTGATTTGATTCTCCTTGATAGGGTTTGAGGCTTGCTTGGTCTATATTTTTGAAATGTCTTTACAAAATGGGCTAGAGAAGAAAATTTACAAGATAAAAAGTCGAAAAACATCACAATAAATGTGCAAAAAATAACAAGCTATTTTAGCTGTACCAAAAAATGCAATAAAAACATTCGATCAAACAACCGAAAACAAAAAAAGTTAGAACCAATTCTGTTACTTAAATTAAAAAAGCAAAAAGAACGAAAAATTTCTGTATAAGAAATCAATCACTCCCACATAATACCAAAGAAAGTAGATCGAATAAACCATTCGGAAAATAAGCCGACAAAATTAAAGCCGACATCCAGCACAGAAAAAAAAACAGTCTTAAAAAAACTATTGACTAAGGAGTCCGTTCTGTGAACTAAGTTCTTCGCGGAAAAAGTCTAGTACCCGATTGCAATACCCTAGCTTATCACAAGGATAAAAAAGAAGAAAGAAAAAAAATGGAATTCTTCATTTTGATGTTATACCCATAGAGCTGGAAAAAAGTTAAGTAGCTCAAGAAAAACGAAAAAATACTTTTTGAAAATGTCAGCTTCCAAATTACACTGAAACAAAAATGACTTTGAAGCTTTCTGAATTTCAAATTTTTGTAATGGTATAAGTCATACACAGAGGCGAAGCAGAGCTTGGCATCACTTGCTAAACAACACATAAAAACGTAAGTAAAATAAAATAGCAACGGACCAGAAATTACAAAGCGGAAACAAAACCGACAATCAGTTCAGCCAAAAAAAAAAATGATTTTCCCTGAAACTACAAGGAAAAGCCTTTGCATCTGTAATGAAAATTGCTCGCAGTTCAAGAAAAATCCGTGAATTGGCAACTCGCCGAAAAAAATTTGATCAGACAAAGAAAAGTGCAACAATGTAATTTTTAAAGGAAAAAGTCATCTTCATACATACTGAAAACACGAGGCCCGGAAGTTGTTACGGTTCAATAACTCAAGAACTTCGTAAACAAATAACATTTAACGTACCATACAAACACGAATACTACGAGGCTAGACCGAAGTAAAGATATACACATAGTAACAAACAAAATTTCGGAAAACTGAGCAAGTCTTTGTCCTCTCGTTAAACCCTCCAACATTTGACCAAATTTTTAGCCTGAAAACTCAATAACTCGAAAAAACTGGTTATTGAAAGAGTAATGGCGACTTTGATTTTGAAGACGCAAGGCCCAAATAAGACAAAACTCATCTCTTGTTAAAAATTAAAACCAAATACTTGAAACAAAATGATGCGAACATCAGATGCTTTCAGCATTTCAGTGGAATAAAAACAGATTCAAGGAATCAAAAAAATTTTTTTAACACAGAGGCGAAGCAGAGCTTCGCATCACATGCGATTCCACAAAAATAGCATTGCAAGCTAGCAGATAGGAAAGGAAAAGAAGCAACTAAGTCCAAACAAAATGAAATGTTGTCTAGAATAATGTTTTATTTACTGAAAACACGTCCAAAAACACATTGAATGGCTCTTAATGAAAATTCAAAAAAACTATCAAGCAAAAACAAAATTGTTGTCATGAAAACTTTGAACTATAAAATCTAGTCTGAGATTTTTAACGTTTTGTGCGATCCGGAGGAAAGCATATTAACTATTGTTCACTCGAACGACCCAAAATTAAACTATTCAGCCAATAAAAAATAGGCCGAAATTATTTAGGCCAAAAAACATTAATCAAAAAAAATATTCAAAAAAAAAAACAAAATATAAGAGGCCGAGGTTAGTAGAATTACAAACTAAGTACATGCAGGCTACTTGAATTTGTCATTTAATTCTGGAGGGATATTGTTGTTCACTTGATCTATTTAGGAGGACGAGGGTGAGACCGTTTACTTAGGCCCCTTTTTGGTTTACGCACGCAGCAACTAGCTAATTACTTTGGTTTCAAAACTTTGTTGAATATTATTTTTGGATTGAAATTTTTCTACAAGATTATCTCACATCTGAGTCTTCAATCCTGTCTGGGAATTTGACGTCACATGTTACGTACAGGTCACCCCTCGGTACCAAGCCCGTGTCGGGGTCAGCAGCCTTTCCATATTTGGGCATGCCCTCGCCCGGTACTATGCAGAGTCCGTTGTTGTCCATTACCTGCAAATTGTCATTTCAAATAAGCAACTGTCGTGTAATCCTGTTGAAAAAAAAACGAGAAAACAATTATAATTCTTCACAGCAGCAGATTTGGAGGGAGCGGGATTTAGGGGTACCTTCTAGGGATTGGACACACTGACCACTGAAAACGTCGCTCTTTGTTATTATTTTTCAAAAATCCACTTCGGCTCCAAAAATCTTAAGAGGGCAACTCGCGCCAAAAACTTGAATCTCTTTGTAGAAACATTTCAAGTGCCCTAAAACGTCATTCATAGCGCTGTTATTTCAAAACAATTGCCTGCGCCTCAGAAATTTTTAGCTGAAAAGGGTCTTAGTATTTTGGGAGCTCGGAAAAACAAGCCACTACTGCAGACCAGTTTTCCTCGACACTGAGATAACTTTTCTAAAATAACTTTTGGCATCCGAATTCAGACTAAATAACCTTATTAGATAAAGCACTCGCCCTCTCACTATGAAATTCGAAAAAAAACAGGCAAAAATAGGGAATAAAAATTGGGGAAATTGAGAAAAATGCCATTAAAGATGAGCATTGAAAAAAAAAACAGGGATCGAACCCTAAACCTTCTGCTTCATGGACACTCATTTACTAATCTGGGGTTATAATAGAAAAGAGCGGAAAGCTGACCTCAAAAAGCAAATACTTGTTGATTAATGCTAATTCCAAATTTTTTTAGAAAATAAAATTTTGACATTAAAAGCGTTTGAGACGTTAAACCAAACGGTTCTAGTATGGTTAAAGTGTTTTTATAAGTTAAGTGATTATTAACCAGGGCGAGGGTAGGTCTGTTACCTGGTTAAAATGTTTTATAAGTTTAGTGATTATTAACCAGGGCGAGGGTAGACCACAATGCAATAAGTCCATCAACAAAATTAATGAAAACTATTTGTGATTGGAAGGGGAAACCCTCTTGTGCGAAAACTTGGCTCTTTTCCAGTTCCCCCCTTTCAAAATACCGAGTTTTATGTTTGTTTTACGTGTTATTACGGCTAAATGCGTGATGTTACGCTTTAAAGTATGAAGAACAAATTTGTTCACAATTGTCGATTTGTTCACCACGCCAAATTTCGTGGCCATATGACAATGTTAAATAAGCTTTTCAAAATTGAATTTGAAAGGGGGGAACTGGAAAAGAGCCGAAAACTTTTCAGCCAATCAGAATTAATGATATATAAATTGGATGCAAATGAGCAATAAAATCCGCCAGTTTTAGGTCTCGTAAAAAGTTTCTGGTCGGTCCTGTAAAGTGTCCCCCCCCCCCCCAACCCACACTGGGCATTACCTGGCCGGCTGGTCTGGACAAGACAACTGTGCGTCCGTCGAGGTGTTTGATCACGTGGTCGAATCCACAGAGAGCCTCTGAGAGTGTGAGCTGCATGTTGTAGATCAAGTGATCTCCCTTCCGCGTGAAGGTTTTGTGCGTTTGTTCTGCCAAGATAATGACCACGTCTCCGGGCTCCATACCAGGCTACAACATATTTGACAATATAACACATTTGAAAATGTCAGTCTCAATTCACCATTAAGATAATTTAAGAAATATAATCTAAAGCGAAACACATCAAAGATCAACATATTCTGCATGATAGAGCATCTTTTACACAGATTCAAAGTTGCATCCCCCTACACACAGGGGTGGATCTAGGATTTTTTCGAGGTGCGGCGGATTTTCAAAAATTGTTTGAAATATTAGTCGACATTTTTTAGGCCGACCAAATTGAGTTCCCGAGCGGTCTCAAAACACTATAGAGACCCTATTTTGACAAAAACTTTAGCGACGCAAGCGAATTTTTTATAAAAAAAGGTCAAAAACGCCGTTTTTGTGCACTTTTTGGAAAGTTTCGACGAAAAACCGCGTTTTTTTGGCGCGCGCTACCCCTCAAAATTAGTGTACATTGGTGCCCAAGGCTCCTTTAGAAAAATTTAAGGGTCGATCAGCCAAAAAATGATTTCATAAAAAGAACCAAAAAGGTCGGCTGGGGGTCGAAACCCTGAGGGGAGGGGGGCGTCCGCATATCATAACTTGTCTCGAAATAAATTACACCAGGGTGGTCTCCAAAGTGTTTTAATTTAATAAAAAACATCAAAAACGTTTTAAACATGTATTAAATTGAAATATTTGTTTTTGCTATTCGTCCAAAATCACCAGCAAGAAAACGAAAAAAGCAGCTCTATAAAGGGCAATAAGAAAAAGTAGGAAGCCTTGAATTAGTAAAAATTCGGCTGAGTCTCGGATTCGATCTGCAACCAAGAGATTATAAGTCTCACTCACTAACAGAGCCACGGATGTTTAACAAATACCAAACGTTCGCCACAAATAAAGCAGAGAACAGATGCTATAAAATTTCCAATGCTTAAATTTATGGTTTTTACACGAACGCTAAAACATACGATTTTATTTAGCACCATAGTCTTATATGGTACACAGGAGCGAAGCTGTGATTCGCGAACACTATCAAGACCACGAAAAAAGCAGCTCTATAAAGTGCAATAAGAAAAAATAGAAAAAAGCCTTGAATTAATGAAAATTCGGCTTAGTCTAGGATTCGATCTAAGACATCGAGATTATAAGTCTCACTCACTAACAGAGCCAACGATGCTTAACAAATACCAAACATTCGCCACAAATAAAGCAGAGAACAGATGCTATGAAATTTCCAATACTAAATATCGAAATTATAGCAAAAGCGCCACTAAATAAGTGAACACTTTGAATGAACACTTTTACTTGCGAGTTAGGTTGGACAAAAAAGGTTCGTACTAACACACTACGCTCTCAAGCTCGGAAACAAAGCAAACTTTCGCACCAATTGCGGTACAACTAAAACATATGTTTACAAGGTAGTGGACAGAAAATAAGGCGAAGCCAATAAATCGTCAAAATAATAAAAGAGCCTCAATAAAACTACATCCATCAAAATTTTCCTCTTTATCTCTAATTCTGTTAAATTTAACAAAAACAAACTGAAAAACAAAAACGTCGGCATAAGCAACAACTTTCGAGCAGAAAGAATAAGACAGCCTTTGAACCGAAAACTGAAGTTTGATAAAAGATTTTTCTTAAATTCGAAAATTTTACGCCCTCCCTCACTCCTGTATTATACAGAATTTAAAAAAGTATATTATAGCCCTTCAAACAACGAAAAATAAAGTGACTAAGCCAATATAACATTAGCAGAAAAACCTTTAGGCCGCATTACTCTTTAAATGAAAAAAACTGACAAAAAAAATAAAAACGGAATTATACAAAATCAGAGGTGATATATTTTACAAATTACAGACTAAACCAAATGACCTTCAGTAGTAATGAGATTTGTCTAAGTCAGAAGAAAATTAGAGATTTGGAAAATAAGCCTACAAAAAGCTGACGGACGATATTCCGACAAATAAATATTTCTAAGAACTAAATTTTCAAGTTGTAGAAAAAATGGACTTCTCGTCGGAATCAGTCCGAGAGCCTTTGTCTTCACAATCTTGGACACTAAAACCATTCGCAACAGTCCAAATGATTCGCCAGAACGTACTGAGGAGTCTAAATATTTGTTCTGAGGAGTCTAGAACGTACTGAGGAGTCTAAAAAATTCAAACAAAGCCAACAGGCAGTTCGAGAAGAGTCAATGAACGCAAGGAAACAGAAAACTGCCTTGTTTTTTTTAAATCTCAATATGCATATGTCGATGAAAAAAAGATGGCCATATATTTCTAGAACAATTTATGATTGCAACTTTTTGAAAAAAGATAAAACCAATTTGAGAAAACTGGATCAATAGGTAAAACTATTGCATTTTGTAGGGAAATTCGATTATTAAATTCCATTTTTCAAACTAGAAGTTCATCACTTTTTTGTGACATATATACTTTTGCTCCCGATAGTGCATTTTGCTGCTCAAATATGCACTACCTTTCCACTTTTTCTGCTCAAAAAACATCATCGCGACCTAAAAAAAAAAGGTCCGAACTACGTTCATCGACTCTTCACAACCCACGACCCCCCTATTACAATACATTTGCTCATCGCGAGGACAAGAAATCAACATCGTAGTTGCAATAGAAACGTAATATCTATTGAACGCCGAAACTACTACATTTTTAAAAATAAAACAGCAAGTTATAAATTCATACTAAATTGCTTGTTAGCTTTTCAGCTCTCCGTTTTTTTTAGATTACTTAATTGGTTCTTTATTTTAGTTCAAGAGTTGTACTCATTGATGGGCTCGTACAACACAAACATAACTGCCGCCCTGCTTTAACAGCACATGGACTGTACCTGTTGGTCTCCCTCTTCCCTGAGAGTGATTCGCTGATCGTGTCTGGATCCCCTCTTGATGGGAACCTCCAGAATCTTCACCTCTTTGACCACCTTCAACCCATTACACGTCTTACACTTGTCCTTCTCCGGTATCTTGTTTCCTAAAAAGTCTCATCGTCAACATACAATCAGCACAAAAATACACACTGCAATCAAAAATACATTCATGCATTATTGCTATCAGCATCATCAAGGTAAACATAGGACCCCAAAAAGCTCATATGAATCAGAAAAAAAAAACACTTTTTTAAAGGTATGTGGAAAAAAGTACTCGAACTGCTCTTTGATTGGAATTTGGCTGTAAAACAGATTTGGATAATTAGAAAACCCAGAAGCATATTAAAAACTTTTCGTCCACAAGTGGTAAAAAAGGAAACGCCAGTCTTGGAGGCTGATTTTTGTTTCCATAAATCAAGACCATTCCATAAATTTAAGGCCATTTGATTTCTCAAGGGATAGCAGCAACTGCAGCAAAAACGACTAAGGAGAAACCCTCATGGCTAAAGACCCAAATAGCAGAAAATTATATCAGCCAATCAGAATCCAGTACTAAAACTCCAACAGGAAAGAGTGACCGACCATTCAGTCAATTGCATTCTGAGTTTAGCGGCTTTCAATTGAATAAAACATTTCTGCTATTCGGCTCTTCTGTCATAAGTATAGCAGCCAATAAAAAAGACTGACCTTGTCCGTTACAGGCGGAGCATTCTGTCTGGAACTGTTGCACGAATCCAGGTCCCAGCTGCCGAACTTTGATAACCCGTCCTTGACCCTCACACTCGCGACACACACTCACAGATCCAGGCTTCCCTCCTTGTCTATACAAACACATTTAACACAGGTATTTGTTTCTCAGAATAAGTATTCTCCCAAATTTTCAGGCATAACTCATGATTAATTTAATCTAACATTTGTCATAAATTCTCTAATTTCATTGCAATAAACTGACTTCTTCATTTAGGTGATAGCATTTCTGCGGCAACGTCAGATATGTAAGGAGTTAATTAATTAAAATTTTGGCCTTTGCTTTGCTGTTTCAATTTATGTTTTGCCAGTAGATAAATATTTGTAATTTCACAACAATAAAAGCCAGGAACTTACCCATTGCATTTTTTGCAAAGAACTGTCTTGTTCAGCTGTATTTTGCTCGTCTTGCCTTTGTAGAGATCTTCCAGGCTAACTCTGAAAACAAACATAACAAATATTTAACCGGTTCAAACTCACATCGGCCGCAACTCAACCATGCAACCGCAGTTCAAATCACTTCAGCTGCTGATGCCGAGAGAGAAGCTCAATTTCGTTTCAAATGCAAATGTTCAAAAGTTAATACTGAAAAATAAGAAAAAAAACTGACTTAAGGGGGTGTATCACATCTTTGCCCTTGGTTGGCTGCTGGCGTCTACCTCTTCCTCCGCCGCCAAACCCACCGAAGGGAGAGAACATGTCTTCAAAGGGGTGTCCGCCGCCACCTCCCATGCCCCCCGAGGATCCGAAGAAGTGTCCGAATACATCGTCCATGTGTCCCGAAGCACCTCCCGACGAGTCTTTGACTGCATCCATTCCGTACCTTAAAAAAATTAAGAACACGTTGAGTATAAATTAATATAAACTAACAACCAGCGCTCTTTAAAAGGGAAGGAGATCTTTCAGCAGAAAATTCAGCCAAAAAATTCGACTTCATTACAAAAAACTAAAGCGAAATTGAATTTACAGTCTACATTTAACAAATAGAAAGACTGCGTTTTTAAAAACTGCCTGGTTTGGACGACAATAATTTGTTTTTAGGGAGTGCAGATTTTTTAGTAGAAACTATAGAGTGGAATGGATAAGAAGATTCAATTTATTGTAAGTATAGTTTCAAATACCCCTCAAACGAGAGTAGCCGGTTGTTTTGCAAGTAGCACTTAAACAAGAGTTATTTTTTAGAAAATCAAGAGTTTTTTAAGAATCTGCGCCGGTTTTTGAGCATGGTGTATGGAGTGACGAGGAAAAACAAAGCTTTTCCGGGGAAAACTAACGAGGAAAAAAAAGAAGGGTAGCCGTTTACTGTGCAAGTAGCACAGAATGTTCAGACCATATTCATTAAAAAATATATATAAGGGTTTTTTCCTTTCTTTTTTCAAAGTAGCGTCGTTTTTAGTATACAGTTTAGAGAACCATACAAACGCGTAGAAAGTTAGTGAAATAGGCAAGATGGACAATATTTTTTTTGAAAAATGAATACCGAACAAAAACTGTATTTTATTTTTTTAAAGAAAACCTTTATTGCCAAGCAAGCGCTACATGAACTATTAAAATCAAGTTTTGTAAGTCTTCACAAAAGTAATTTTTCCTATAACAAAGATTACTCGCTCCCTCAAAATTAGACGGAAAAACCAAAATTTTTTCTCGACAATGGGAAAATTTTTGACGCTCAAATCACGACTGAAAGGGATTCAATATGGTATATCACTCAACCCAGTCTGATGATTCTTTTTGATACATGACTTTGTGTGGAAGACAAAAAGTAAAAAACTAGAACACACCCGAATACAAAGCTTTTCCTCATTTTCACCGCTTGGAACAAAAAAATCAAAAAATAATTAAAAAATTTTACTAACTTTTGAAGGTTGCTTTTGAATATTATAAACTTTCTATTGCCAAGGAAACGCTAAATAAAGCTCCAAAAACTGGATTGGGAGTTCAGTTAATTAATCTAAGGAGGGGATTTTTCAAATGGGACTTTCATTTCATACCTGTCATACATGGCCCTCTTAGATGAGTCACTCAGCACCTCGTACGCCAAATTCACCTCCTTCAATTTCTCCTCCGCCTCAGCTGCTCCCTGGTGATTCTTGTCCGGATGATACTTTTTAGCCAACCTATGGTACTGCTTCTTAATCTGTGCATCTGTCGCATTGGGGCTCACTTCCAGTACTTGATACAAAGCTGTGTCTGCCACCATTATGCTGCTGTTATAATTCTTTTTTGAATTTCAGAAATAACTGCTATGACAGGGCGCTCGAGGCAAACGCTCTGAAAAAACAAGAGATAATTTAATTTGTTAGTTCTCTGGTGGTTTTGTTATAACAAGACTGCTCTCAAAAACTCTGAACGAGCTGAGCATATAACAATTTTCAGTTCAAGCTTATTTAAATTATTTGATATATCGACACATTCTACCACAGTATGAAAAAAAATTAAAGCTTGAAAGATTCTTCTATGTGGCATTAGAAAAACTGTATCTAACCAGGACCGATATTTGTCAGATTATAACAATAATACTCCCGATGATATCACTCATGATCATTAACACCAGAACGATTTCAAGTGTTTCATGATTACCCAGAGAGCCACTTATCAGTATCATTGTTGAATGATCCCAAAATCATTGTTGAAAAACTCCCGCGCAACTTTAAAAACTCATGTGCAGATTGAACTTTTGAAAATTACAAACTGATGCGAAAGCTCTATTTAAATACAGAGGGGAATATTTGCAACCTTTTGCAAACCGCTTTTACCAAAAACCGACAGGTGTAAATACAGCCACAAGTTTTAAAAAAACTAGCCAACAAAAAATTTTCCTGTCAAAAATTGTAAGGGCTGGAAAAATTTAAATAAAAAGACTTTATGGGCTGATGAAATCTTCAAATAAAGCGTTTTAGCAGAAGGCAACAAAACGGAAAACATTCCTTCAATATGTACAAGTGGGAGGATAGAAAGAATACAGAAAGTTCAGAGAACGAAAGAGAAAAGAGAGAGAGAGAGAGAGAGAGAGACAATCAGAAGCGACATCTTTTACAGGCAATGGAAATTAACAAAACTATTTTCGTCGGATCTCTAAAACTGCCTTTGATAGAAACATCAGTTCTAACCAAAAACCAGAGAATTCTTGACACAAATATCAATCATCAGATGCAAGCTACTCATTCTAGCCGAACAAAAATAAAACATAGCCAACAGAAGGTTAGCAAAGTTTAGAAGAGCAAAACAGAAAAAAAACGTTAATAAAAATTTTTGAACATTTTAAACTTTCGAGCTTTAGCGAAAAAAATTCAAATATATGATCTCATGAACTGTTTCTGATTGACAATTTTTTTGATGAATTAACCCAATGTTTAAAATAAAGTGTATCAATGGGTAACTTTTTTATTTCGCTTAATTTTTTTTTATATTAAAAACTAAAAACCACTTTCGAAACAAAAAATTGAAAACATTTTTTTTTCGCTTCATTTCAGCTTTCATAATTGGAGAGCGCAATTCGCTCAACTTTTAGGGAAAGATATTGAATTGAATTCCAAAAGTCAAAATAAATGCATTAAAATGCATGAAAGCACTTCTGTCGTAAGAGACTTTTTTCTGGGAAAAAAAAACAAAAAAAGACCTATAGGAGCGAAAATCACTTCTTTCTTTTAGACTTGAACACACAAGCGAAGCTGCACTTCAATCACGACAAAACAGCAGTAAAAAAAGCTCTGAAAATTCAAAAAAATACGAGGATTTGTTGTTCTGACTTTCGAAGAAAACGGAATATTTATGCTCGGTGTGGTTTTTTTATTCAGTCAATTTTCGCCGATCAAAATCGTAGTTTTCAAAAAAAAATTTATACCCCATTGAAGATATTGACTTCCTGAGTTCAAAATTAAAAACATATTTCACCTTAGATTATTTTTTGTGAAGTCCTGGGGGTTTGAAAATTGCCAAATTGGCCATGTTATGCGCTAAATTATGCTCGCTTTGAAGAACTGCTGAGAGCGCAACGCGAATTATTTATGCATAGCGAATTATCCCGCACAACAAAATCGTTCCAAATTGAATTGAGGCTAGCTGATCGGATTGGTCTTATTAATTTCGTACGGCTCAACCTTTCACACTTTAATATTGTCCGCAATTTATAGGTTTTCAATATTTTCTTTTCCCAAAAACTATTCGATATGAATTAAGGGACAGTCGGAACATTCAGGGCGTTGTCCTGATATACGAGCTGTCTTGTTCAGTTTCATGCCAGTGATAATCCCGTTAAAGCTTCCGCCACTTGACCACTGATAGATTATAACTAGTAGTTTCGCACCAAGCTTTACTAACTAACAGTCAGTATTTCATGCCATGTAAAAGAGGATAAAACTCATTGCAATGAACTGTAAAAAAAAAGACGATGATCTTGTGCACAAATACTTATCTAAAACAAGGAAAAGCCTTACCAGACACTTATTTCATCAAAAAATAGATACTACCAGCAACATTGTTAGAATTTCAATTCGCCACAAACGTCGTATTAAAACTACTAACAACGAAACAAAGCAAATTGAATTTCAGTTTAAAAATAAAAAGCAAAAAAATCAATATCACAAAACCCTCAGAGAAATTTAAGTACCTTTTCTATCGCTACTATGAAATATATTTTGTGTATAAAAATTGAACATTTATAGGCATTAAATTGGCATATCTACATATCCTCAAGTGCAGTTGTTGATGTTAAGTCGATGAAATTTTTAGTGGCAATTTGTACTTGCAAAGCAACTACAAACTTCGGATCAACCGTACAATTTTCCCGGACCAAATCGTATTAGGGGGGAGAAAATATGGATTTTTCATAAGCTAATTTAGAGTATAGCCTAGATTCGTTTAAAATTGACCATATTACTAAAGAAAATTGAATTAAAACATTAATTTGTGTAATTAACAGCATAGAAATGCAATACCGCATAAAAATTTAAAAACCAATTTAAATTGCGCGTTTGTATGAAATGCATATTATTTTTTTTCATAATTACTACATGCTTGAGCAGGGAATTCTACGGTAGGTCAATGGGCGGGGGAGGAGATTGTCTGGTTGATTCCAAAATTCGAAACCTATCGTATATCCTCGGCTTGCACAAAGCAAAATAGCATCAAATTTTGACCAAAAAATTAAATCAAAAAGTAAATGACAAAACCGTAATAAAATACAAAACTTCACTTCCTGCAATAGTAATCTTTCACACACGAGTGAACTCTAAACCCCTTAAAACAAAACGCGAGCACCTGGGTGCTTGTAAACATCCGATGGGGTTTCAATGTCCTTTTTTTGTAAAATTCATAATTAAGGACAAATTGATAATTAGTTATTTTGTGCTTGAACCTCACGTTGAGATGCTAGCTCTTAGATTTTTATGTAAACGAAATTCCTAAATAACAAGAAGGATAACTGGTTGCTGTGCAAGAAACACTAAATGCACGACCCATTCTTTCAAGAAAAAAAAACATAGAGGCGAAGCAAAATTTCGCACTACTAGCGATAAAAAACCTCGAAAAAGTCGAAAAAAACTAGATCTATTAAAATGAAAATTAATTTCAAAAAAATATGGCAAGAGAATTGAACAAAAAATTAGTATCGAATGAAACTTACCAAACATTAACAAGGTCGAAAATATCTGGGCAGAGGTCGACGCAATATAAAATCCTTTAATATCAATCGCACAGCAGCTCATGACTCAAGAAAACAACATTCAGTAACTTATTCAATTACCATTTTCCGTATAATAAAGACAAGATTAAAAGTTAAATACTTTTTTCCTTTTCAAAGACAATTTCAAAGTAATGCTCAAAAACAAGCAAGCAGAAAGCCAATAAAACCAAAATGATTCTAAATCTAAGCTAATAATAGGCACCATTGCAGTTTAACCATGAATCAAAGAGCAGCTTAATAATAACACAAAATTTGCAAATTCTACAATAATAAAAGGAAGCAATCAATTATAGCAGCTCAAAATGAAGAATTGCTGATATGTTACTTCTTAATGAATTTTTTAACATATTCCAGTGCGTCACTCTTATACGCTTTCAAATCTTCTTTGAACTTAATATGCGCCCTCCTTTCTTTCTCATAAATGAGAAGATACTTATTGATATCCGCCACTGACATGTCCTGTTTCAAGGTCATCATGACTTGGTTCTTCAGCACTGTTGAGGCTCGTGTGATGTCAGCTTCGCTTGCAACAGCTCTCGGCGTCTGGTGATTTGTATCCACACTTGAGTTCTGCGTCACTTCTGAAGGTATTTGGCTGACGCTACTTGTACGACTCACCGAACTTATAGGCGCTATGGTACTTCTAGTATTAGGGTGAAAAGGTAAGACTCCCGGAGTCACGGCACTATCACTTGGCGCGGGTAAGGTCAAGGCACCCGCATCACTAAAAACACATTAAAACCCAGAACAAATTTATGAAGAAAATCATTCTTGAACGCCTTACAGTTCAGGACACTTTCATCGAAACCCCTTTAAAACTTGTTTTGAGCAAGAATGTTCCGATCTTTTGTAAGCATGTTTTGAGCAAGCAGTACCTAATTTCTCTGAAAGTCTTTGACTTTCCCCAAAAAATCGTAACTTTTAGATGTGCCCTATCCGCTTTCAAATTTACCCATCCTCTCTCGCTTCATACATGTTTTTGAAAAATGCACCTTTTAAAAGAAAACTTCCGAGTAGGTCAGTTTGAATGTGGCTAAATATAAACACGCGAAACAATTAATGCAGCGAGTCAAAACCCGAACCGGATTTTATCCGACTAAGTTTGCGGTGTATTTTTTACAATATACAAAATACAAATCTTCCATCGCTGTACAGAGGTTGAACACGCCAAGTCACAGTTTCCCACTTCGGTGCTAATTTACATACCATGTACGATAACATTCCAATTTTTTTATGATAAAGTTATTTTGCAGAGAACCTGATGATGATGACGCTTTCTTAAGCTTTTGGACCAACCTAATTCTTGTACTTTCCAGTCCCGGAAGAATGTTTCCTGCGATGGACACTGTAGCGTTGTGGGTTGACTGAAGCAAAGTGGCTCCAGCTTGAGTCAAACTTGTCAACGGTGCTTCGTCAAACATACTCGGCAATGTCATGTCCACCGGTCGTGACTCGTCTGTAATTGACACATTATTTATTAATTTCGCTATCAGGTCGGCAGGTAATACGCTCCTCAGGCTTTCAATCCAGGATGCTCTTTCAGCTGGGTTACTTGGTCCGTTCAAGGATTCTTGTCCTGCGAAAACGTCACTCATGCTTATAGGTAGTCCAGACGGTAACAACCCGTATCCCGTGGGAAACCCTACCAGGCCAGGGTAATTAATGGCGCCCGGCAACACACCTCCCGGGGGCGGCGACCTCATTCGCTCACGTTCCTTTTCATATTCATCCCAAGCCGCCAATTTTTCCGATTCGGACAAATCTTCATCGTTATCATCTTGCAACAAGGTATCGTGTTCGTAGAAATTGCCGATCCACTTGTCTTTGTGGTTGTAAACTATATCCGCCAACACCTTGTCATCAGGCACCATTTGTATTGGACTTTCCTCCATAGTCGGATTAAACCTGTACAATTCACCTAACTCATGATCCGTGAAGCGTCTTTCTTTCGAATTTTTGTCCACGACGCGTTCTGCAAGTGAAACCTTGACAACTTGACGATAATAAACTTTATGTTCAATCGTGCCCTGTCCTATGAACCTGTAAATATACACTTGTTTCTGCTGTCCCATTCTGTAAACTCTGAACATAGATTGAATATCCTGAGTTGGGTTCCAGGAAGCGTCGAAGACTATCACGCGGTTGGCCGAATGGAGATTGATTCCGAGGGATCCCGCCCTCGTGGAAATTATCATCAGTTTGAAATTATTATTTTTCTCATTGAATATCTTGCACAGTTGTTTTCGAGTATCAGTGGACGTTGATCCGTCGAGTCTGAAATATAATTAGGTAGTAGAGCTACAATAAGGTTTGAAAAAATCCAACGTTTAGCATTCTGAGTTTAGCGGCTTTCAATTGGTTAAAACATTTCTGCTATTCGGCTCTTCTGTAATAAGTATAGCAGCCAATAAAAAAGACTGACCTTGTCCGTTACAGGCGGAGCATTCTGTCTGGAACTGTTGCACGAATCCAGGTCCCAGCTGCCGAACTTTGATAACCCGTCCTTGACCCTCACACTCGCGACACACACTCACAGAGCCAGGCTTCCCTCCTTGTCTATACAAACACATTTAACACAGGTATTTATTTCTCAGAATAAGTATTCTCCCAAATTTTCAGGCATAACTCATGATTAATTTAATCTAACAATTTGTCATGAATTCTCTAATTTCATTGCAATAAACTGACTTCTCCATTTAGGTGATAGCATTTCTGGGGCAACGTCAGATATGTAAGGAGTTAATTAACTAAAATTTTGGCCTTTGCTTTGCTGTTTCAATTTATGTTTTGCCAGTAGATAAATATTTGTAATTTCACAACAATAAAAGCCAGGAACTTACCCATTGCATTTTTTGCAAAGAACTGTTTTGTTCAGCTGTATTTTGCTCGTCTTGCCTTTGTAGAGATCTTCCAGGCTAACTCTGAAAACAAACACAACAATTATTTCAACCGGTTCAAACTCACATCGGCCGCAACTCAACCATACAATCGCAGTTCAAATCACTTCAGCTGCTAATGCCGAGAGAGAAGCTCAATTTAGTTTCAAATGCAAATGTTCAAAAGTTAATACTGAAAAATAAGAAAAAAAAACTCACTTAAGGGGGTGTATCACATCTTTGCCCTTGGTTGGCTGCTGGCGTCTACCTCTTCCTCCGCCGCCAAACCCACCAAATGGAGAAAACATGTCTTCAAAGGGGTGTCCGCCGCCACCTCCCATGCCCCCCGAGGATCCGAAGAAGTGTCCGAATACATCGTCCATGTGTCCCGAAGCACCTCCCGACGAGTCTTTGACTGCATCCATTCCGTACCTTAAAAAAATTAAGATCACGTTGAGTATAAATTAATATAAATTAACAACCTGCTCTCTTTAAAAGGGAAGGAGATCTTTCAGCAGAAAATTCAGCCAAAAAATTCGACTTCATTACAAAAAACTAAAGCGAAATTGAATTTACAGTCTACATTTAACAAATAGAAAGACTGCGTTTTTAAAAACTGCCTGGTTTGGACGACAATAATTTGTTTTTAGGGAGTGCAGATTTTTTAGTAGAAACTATAGAGTGGAATGGATAAGAAGATTCAATTTATTGTAAGTATAGTTTCAAATACCCCTCAAACGAGAGTAGCCGGTTGTTTTGCAAGTAGCACTTAAACAAGAGTTATTTTTTAGAAAATCAAGAGTTTTTTAAGAATCTGCGCCGGTTTTTGAGCATGGTGTATGGAGTGACGAGGAAAAACAAAGCTTTTCCGGGGAAAACTAACGAGGAAAAAAAAGAAGGGTAGCCGTTTACTGTGCAAGTAGCACAGAATGTTCAGACCATATTCATTAAAAAATATATATAAGGGTTTTTTCCTTTCTTTTTTCAAAGTAGCGTCGTTTTTAGTATACAGTTTTGAGAACCATACAAACGCGTAGAAAGTTAGTGAAATAGGCAAGATGGACAATATTTTTTTTGAAAAATGAATACCGAACAAAAACTGTATTTTATTTTTTTAAAGAAAACCTTTATTGCCAAGCAAGCGCTACATGAACTATTAAAATCAAGTTTTGTAAGTCTTCACAAAAGTAATTTTTCCTATAACAAAGATTACTCGCTCCCTCAAAATTAGACGGAAAAACCAAAATTTTTTCTCGACAATGGGAAAATTTTTGACGCTCAAATCACGACTGAAAGGGATTCAATATGGTATATCACTCAACCCAGTCTGATGATTCTTTTTGATACATGACTTTGCGTGGAAGACAAAAAGTAAAAAACTAGAACACACCCGAATACAAAGCTTTTCCTCATTTTCACCGCTTGGAACAAAAAAATCAAAAAATAATTAAAAAATTTTACTAACTTTTGAAGGTTGCTTTTGAATATTATAAACTTTCTATTGCCAAGGAAACGCTAAATAAAGCTCCAAAAACTGGATTGGGAGTTCAGTTAATTAATCTAAGGAGGGGATTTTTCAAATGGGACTTTCATTTCATACCTGTCATACATGGCCCTCTTAGATGAGTCACTCAGCACCTCGTACGCCAAATTCACCTCCTTCAATTTCTCCTCCGCCTCAGCTGCTCCCTGGTGATTCTTGTCCGGATGATACTTTTTAGCCAACCTATGGTACTGCTTCTTAATCTGTGCATCTGTCGCATTGGGGCTCACTTCCAGTACTTGATACAAAGCTGTGTCTGCCACCATTATGCTGCTGTTATAATTCTTTTTTGAATTTCAGAAATAACTGCTATGACAGGGCGCTCGAGGCAAACGCTCTGAAAAAACAAGAGATAATTTAATTTGTTAGTTCTCTGGTGGTTTTGTTATAACAAGACTGCTCTCAAAAACTCTGAACGAGCTGAGCATATAACAATTTTCAGTTCAAGCTTATTTAAATTATTTGATATATCGACACATTCTACCACAGTATGAAAAAAAATTAAAGCTTGAAAGATTCTTCTATGTGGCATTAGAAAAACTGTATCTAACCAGGACCGATATTTGTCAGATTATAACAATAATACTCCCGATGATATCACTCATGATCATTAACACCAGAACGATTTCAAGTGTTTCATGATTACCCAGAGAGCCACTTATCAGTATCATTGTTGAATGATCCCAAAATCATTGTTGAAAAACTCCCGCGCAACTTTAAAAACTCATGTGCAGATTGAACTTTTGAAAATTACAAACTGATGCGAAAGCTCTATTTAAATACAGAGGGGAATATTTGCAACCTTTTGCAAACCGCTTTTACCAAAAACCGACAGGTGTAAATACAACCACAAGTTTTAAAAAAACTAGCCAACAAAAAATTTTCCTGTCAAAAATTGTAAGGGCTGGAAAAATTTAAATAAAAAGACTTTATGGGCTGATGAAATCTTCAAATAAAGCGTTTTAGCAGAAGGCAACAAAACGGAAAACATTCCTTCAATATGTACAAGTGGGAGGATAGAAAGAATACAGAAAGTTCAGAGAACGAAAGAGAAAAGAGAGAGAGAGAGAGAGAGAGAGACAATCAGAAGCGACATCTTTTACAGGCAATGGAAATTAACAAAACTATTTTCGTCGGATCTCTAAAACTGCCTTTGATAGAAACATCAGTTCTAACCAAAAACCAGAGAATTCTTGACACAAATATCAATCATCAGATGCAAGCTACTCATTCTAGCCGAACAAAAATAAAACATAGCCAACAGAAGGTTAGCAAAGTTTAGAAGAGCAAAACAGAAAAAAAACGTTAATAAAAATTTTTGAACATTTTAAACTTTCGAGCTTTAGCGAAAAAAATTCAAATATATGATCTCATGAACTGTTTCTGATTGACAATTTTTTTGATGAATTAACCCAATGTTTAAAATAAAGTGTATCAATGGGTAACTTTTTTATTTCGCTTAATTTTTTTTTATATTAAAAACTAAAAACCACTTTCGAAACAAAAAATTGAAAACATTTTTTTTTTCGCTTCATTTCAGCTTTCATAATTGGAGAGCGCAATTCGCTCAACTTTTAGGGAAAGATATTGAATTGAATTCCAAAAGTCAAAATAAATGCATTAAAATGCATGAAAGCACTTCTGTCGTAAGAGACTTTTTTCTGGGAAAAAAAAACAAAAAAAGACCTATAGGAGCGAAAATCACTTCTTTCTTTTAGACTTGAACACACAAGCGAAGCTGCACTTCAATCACGACAAAACAGCAGTAAAAAAGCTCTGAAAATTCAAAAAAATACGAGGATTTGTTGTTCTGACTTTCGAAGAAAACGGAATATTTATGCTCGGTGTGGTTTTTTTATTCAGTCAATTTTCGCCGATCAAAATCGTAGTTTTCAAAAAAAAATTTATACCTCATTGAAGATATTGACTTCCTGAGTTCAAAATTAAAAACATATTTCACCTTAGATTATTTTTTGTGAAGTCCTGGGGGTTTGAAAATTGCCAAATTGGCCATGTTATGCGCTAAATTATGCTCGCTTTGAAGAACTGCTGAGAGCGCAACGCGAATTATTTATGCATAGCGAATTATCCCGCACAACAAAATCGTTCCAAATTGAATTGAGGCTAGCTGATCGGATTGGTCTTATTAATTTCGTACGGCTCAACCTTTCACACTTTAATATTGTCCGCAATTTATAGGTTTTCAATATTTTCTTTTCCCAAAAACTATTCGATATGAATTAAGGGACAGTCGGAACATTCAGGGCGTTGTCCTGATATACGAGCTGTCTTGTTCAGTTTCATGCCAGTGATAATCCCGTTAAAGCTTCCGCCACTTGACCACTGATAGATTATAACTAGTAGTTTCGCACCAAGCTTTACTAACTAACAGTCAGTATTTCATGCCATGTAAAAGAGGATAAAACTCATTGCAATGAACTGTAAAAAAAAGACGATGATCTTGTGCACAAATACTTATCTAAAACAAGGAAAAGCCTTACCAGACACTTATTTCATCAAAAAATAGATACTACCAGCAACATTGTTAGAATTTCAATTCGCCACAAACGTCGTATTAAAACTACTAACAACGAAACAAAGCAAATTGAATTTCAGTTTAAAAAATTAAAAAGCAAAAAAATCAATATCACAAAACCCTCAGAGAAATTTAAGTACCTTTTCTATCGCTACTATGAAATATATTTTGTGTATAAAAATTGAACATTTATAGGCATTAAATTGGCATATCTACATATCCTCAAGTGCAGTTGTTGATGTTAAGTCGATGAAATTTTTAGTGGCAATTTGTACTTGCAAAGCAACTACAAACTTCGGATCAACCGTACAATTTTCCCGGACCAAATCGTATTAGGGGGGAGAAAATATGGATTTTTCATAAGCTAATTTAGAGTATAGCCTAGATTCGTTTAAAATTGACCATATTACTAAAGAAAATTGAATTAAAACATTAATTTGTGTAATTAACAGCATAGAAATGCAATACCGCATAAAAATTTAAAAACCAATTTAAATTGCGCGTTTGTATGAAATGCATATTATTTTTTTTCATAATTACTACATGCTTGAGCAGGGAATTCTACGGTAGGTCAATGGGCGGGGGAGGAGATTGTCTGGTTGATTCCAAAATTCGAAACCTATCGTATATCCTCGGCTTGCACAAAGCAAAATAGCATCAAATTTTGACCAAAAAATTAAATCAAAAAGTAAATGACAAAACCGTAATAAAATACAAAACTTCACTTCCTGCAATAGTTATCTTTCACACACGAGTGAACTCTAAACCCCTTAAAACAAAACGCGAGCACCTGGGTGCTTGTAAACATCCGATGGGGTTTCAATGTCCTTTTTTTGTAAAATTCATAATTAAGGACAAATTGATAATTAGTTATTTTGTGCTTGAACTTCACGTTGAGATGCTAGCTCTTAGATTTTTATGTAAACGAAATTCCTAAATAACAAGAAGGATAACTGGTTGCTGTGCAAGAAACACTAAATGCACGACCCATTCTTTCAAGAAAAAAAAACATAGAGGCGAAGCAAAATTTCGCACTACTAGCGATAAAAAACCTCGAAAAAGTCGAAAAAAACTAGATCTATTAAAATGAAAATTAATTTCAAAAAAATATGGCAAGAGAATTGAACAAAAAATTAGTATCGAATGAAACTTACCAAACGTTAACAAGGTCGAAAATATCTGGGCAGAGGTCGACGCAATATAAACTCCTTTAATATCAATCGCACAGCAGCTCATGACTCAAGAAAACAACATTCAGTAACTTATTCAATTACCATTTTCCGTATAATAAAGACAAGATTAAAAGTTAAATACTTTTTTCCTTTTCAAAGACAATTTCAAAGTAATGCTCAAAAACAAGCAAGCAGAAAGCCAATAAAACCAAAATGATTCTAAATCTAAGCTAATAATAGGCACCATTGCAGTTTAACCATGAATCAAAGAGCAGCTTAATAATAACACAAAATTTGCAAATTCTACAATAATAAAAGGAAGCAATCAATTATAGCAGCTCAAAATGAAGAATTGCTGATATGTTACTTCTTAATGAATTTTTTAACATATTCCAGTGCGTCACTCTTATACGCTTTCAAATCTTCTTTGAACTTAATATGCGCCCTCCTTTCTTTCTCATAAATGAGAAGATACTTATTGATATCCGCCACTGACATGTCCTGTTTCAAGGTCATCATGACTTGGTTCTTCAGCACTGTTGAGGCTCGTGTGATGTCAGCTTCGCTTGCAACAGCTCTCGGCGTCTGGTGATTTGTATCCACACTTGAGTTCTGCGTCACTTCTGAAGGTATTTGGCTGACGCTACTTGTACGACTCACCGAACTTATAGGCGCTATGGTACTTCTAGTATTAGGGTGAAAAGGTAAGACTCCCGGAGTCACGGCACTATCACTTGGCGCGGGTAAGGTCAAGGCACCCGCATCACTAAAAACACATTAAAACCCAGAACAAATTTATGAAGAAAATCATTCTTGAACGCCTTACAGTTCAGGACACTTTCATCGAAACCCCTTTAAAACTTGTTTTGAGCAAGAATGTTCCGATCTTTTGTAAGCATGTTTTGAGCAAGCAGTACCTAATTTCTCTGAAAGTCTTTGACTTTCCCCAAAAAATCGTAACTTTTAGATGTGCCCTATCCGCTTTCAAATTTACCCATCCTCTCTCGCTTCATACATGTTTTTGAAAAATGCACCTTTTAAAAGAAAACTTCCGAGTAGGTCAGTTTGAATGTGGCTAAATATAAACACGCGAAACAATTAATGCAGCGAGTCAAAACCCGAACCGGATTTTATCCGACTAAGTTTGCGGTGTATTTTTTACAATATACAAAATACAAATCTTCCATCGCTGTACAGAGGTTGAACACGCCAAGTCACAGTTTCTCACTTCGGTGCTAATTTACATACCATGTACGATAACATTCCAATTTTTTTATGATAAAGTTATTTTGCAGAGAACCTGATGATGATGACGCTTTCTTAAGCTTTTGGACCAACCTAATTCTTGTACTTTCCAGTCCCGGAAGAATGTTTCCTGCGATGGACACTGTAGCGTTGTGGGTTGACTGAAGCAAAGTGGCTCCAGCTTGAGTCAAACTTGTCAACGGTGCTTCGTCAAACATACTCGGCAATGTCATGTCCACCGGTCGTGACTCGTCTGTAATTGACACATTATTTATTAATTTCGCTATCAGGTCGGCAGGTAATACGCTCCTCAGGCTTTCAATCCAGGATGCTCTTTCAGCTGGGTTACTTGGTCCGTTCAAGGATTCTTGTCCTGCGAAAACGTCACTCATGCTTATAGGTAGTCCAGACGGTAACAACCCGTATCCCGTGGGAAACCCTACCAGGCCAGGGTAATTAATGGCGCCCGGCAACACACCTCCCGGGGGCGGCGACCTCATTCGCTCACGTTCCTTTTCATATTCATCCCAAGCCGCCAATTTTTCCGATTCGGACAAATCTTCATCGTTATCATCTTGCAACAAGGTATCGTGTTCGTAGAAATTGCCGATCCACTTGTCTTTGTGGTTGTAAACTATATCCGCCAACACCTTGTCATCAGGCACCATTTGTATTGGACTTTCCTCCATAGTCGGATTAAACCTGTACAATTCACCTAACTCATGATCCGTGAAGCGTCTTTCTTTCGAATTTTTGTCCACGACGCGTTCTGCAAGTGAAACCTTGACAACTTGACGATAATAAACTTTATGTTCAATCGTGCCCTGTCCTATGAACCTGTAAATATACACTTGTTTCTGCTGTCCCATTCTGTAAACTCTGAACATAGATTGAATATCCTGAGTTGGGTTCCAGGAAGCGTCGAAGACTATCACGCGGTTGGCCGAATGGAGATTGATTCCGAGGGATCCCGCCCTCGTGGAAATTATCATCAGTTTGAAATTATTATTTTTCTCATTGAATATCTTGCACAGTTGTTTTCGAGTATCAGTGGACGTTGATCCGTCGAGTCTGAAATATAATTAGGTAGTAGAGCTACAATAAGGTTTGAAAAAATCCAACGTTTAGCATTCTGAGTTTAGCGGCTTTCAATTGGTTAAAACATTTCTGCTATTCGGCTCTTCTGTAATAAGTATAGCAGCCAATAAAAAAGACTGACCTTGTCCGTTACAGGCGGAGCATTCTGTCTGGAACTGTTGCACGAATCCAGGTCCCAGCTGCCGAACTTTGATAACCCGTCCTTGACCCTCACACTCGCGACACACACTCACAGAGCCAGGCTTCCCTCCTTGTCTATACAAACACATTTAACACAGGTATTTATTTCTCAGAATAAGTATTCTCCCAAATTTTCAGGCATAACTCATGATTAATTTAATCTAACAATTTGTCATGAATTCTCTAATTTCATTGCAATAAACTGACTTCTCCATTTAGGTGATAGCATTTCTGGGGCAACGTCAGATATGTAAGGAGTTAATTAACTAAAATTTTGGCCTTTGCTTTGCTGTTTCAATTTATGTTTTGCCAGTAGATAAATATTTGTAATTTCACAACAATAAAAGCCAGGAACTTACCCATTGCATTTTTTGCAAAGAACTGTTTTGTTCAGCTGTATTTTGCTCGTCTTGCCTTTGTAGAGATCTTCCAGGCTAACTCTGAAAACAAACACAACAATTATTTCAACCGGTTCAAACTCACATCGGCCGCAACTCAACCATACAATCGCAGTTCAAATCACTTCAGCTGCTAATGCCGAGAGAGAAGCTCAATTTAGTTTCAAATGCAAATGTTCAAAAGTTAATACTGAAAAATAAGAAAAAAAAACTCACTTAAGGGGGTGTATGTATCACATCTTTGCCCTTGGTTGGCTGCTGGCGTCTACCTCTTCCTCCGCCGCCAAACCCACCAAATGGAGAAAACATGTCTTCAAAGGGGTGTCCGCCGCCACCTCCCATGCCCCCCGAGGATCCGAAGAAGTGTCCGAATACATCGTCCATGTGTCCCGAAGCACCTCCCGACGAGTCTTTGACTGCATCCATTCCGTACCTTAAAAAAATTAAGATCACGTTGAGTATAAATTAATATAAATTAACAACCTGCTCTCTTTAAAAGGGAAGGAGATCTTTCAGCAGAAAATTCAGCCAAAAAATTCGACTTCATTACAAAAAACTAAAGCGAAATTGAATTTACAGTCTACATTTAACAAATAGAAAGACTGCGTTTTTAAAAACTGCCTGGTTTGGACGACAATAATTTGTTTTTAGGGAGTGCAGATTTTTTAGTAGAAACTATAGAGTGGAATGGATAAGAAGATTCAATTTATTGTAAGTATAGTTTCAAATACCCCTCAAACGAGAGTAGCCGGTTGTTTTGCAAGTAGCACTTAAACAAGAGTTATTTTTTAGAAAATCAAGAGTTTTTTAAGAATCTGCGCCGGTTTTTGAGCATGGTGTATGGAGTGACGAGGAAAAACAAAGCTTTTCCGGGGAAAACTAACGAGGAAAAAAAAGAAGGGTAGCCGTTTACTGTGCAAGTAGCACAGAATGTTCAGACCATATTCATTAAAAAATATATATAAGGGTTTTTTCCTTTCTTTTTTCAAAGTAGCGTCGTTTTTAGTATACAGTTTTGAGAACCATACAAACGCGTAGAAAGTTAGTGAAATAGGCAAGATGGACAATATTTTTTTTGAAAAATGAATACCGAACAAAAACTGTATTTTATTTTTTTAAAGAAAACCTTTATTGCCAAGCAAGCGCTACATGAACTATTAAAATCAAGTTTTGTAAGTCTTCACAAAAGTAATTTTTCCTATAACAAAGATTACTCGCTCCCTCAAAATTAGACGGAAAAACCAAAATTTTTTCTCGACAATGGGAAAATTTTTGACGCTCAAATCACGACTGAAAGGGATTCAATATGGTATATCACTCAACCCAGTCTGATGATTCTTTTTGATACATGACTTTGCGTGGAAGACAAAAAGTAAAAAACTAGAACACACCCGAATACAAAGCTTTTCCTCATTTTCACCGCTTGGAACAAAAAAATCAAAAAATAATTAAAAAATTTTACTAACTTTTGAAGGTTGCTTTTGAATATTATAAACTTTCTATTGCCAAGGAAACGCTAAATAAAGCTCCAAAAACTGGATTGGGAGTTCAGTTAATTAATCTAAGGAGGGGATTTTTCAAATGGGACTTTCATTTCATACCTGTCATACATGGCCCTCTTAGATGAGTCACTCAGCACCTCGTACGCCAAATTCACCTCCTTCAATTTCTCCTCCGCCTCAGCTGCTCCCTGGTGATTCTTGTCCGGATGATACTTTTTAGCCAACCTATGGTACTGCTTCTTAATCTGTGCATCTGTCGCATTGGGGCTCACTTCCAGTACTTGATACAAAGCTGTGTCTGCCACCATTATGCTGCTGTTATAATTCTTTTTTGAATTTCAGAAATAACTGCTATGACAGGGCGCTCGAGGCAAACGCTCTGAAAAAACAAGAGATAATTTAATTTGTTAGTTCTCTGGTGGTTTTGTTATAACAAGACTGCTCTCAAAAACTCTGAACGAGCTGAGCATATAACAATTTTCAGTTCAAGCTTATTTAAATTATTTGATATATCGACACATTCTACCACAGTATGAAAAAAAATTAAAGCTTGAAAGATTCTTCTATGTGGCATTAGAAAAACTGTATCTAACCAGGACCGATATTTGTCAGATTATAACAATAATACTCCCGATGATATCACTCATGATCATTAACACCAGAACGATTTCAAGTGTTTCATGATTACCCAGAGAGCCACTTATCAGTATCATTGTTGAATGATCCCAAAATCATTGTTGAAAAACTCCCGCGCAACTTTAAAAACTCATGTGCAGATTGAACTTTTGAAAATTACAAACTGATGCGAAAGCTCTATTTAAATACAGAGGGGAATATTTGCAACCTTTTGCAAACCGCTTTTACCAAAAACCGACAGGTGTAAATACAACCACAAGTTTTAAAAAAACTAGCCAACAAAAAATTTTCCTGTCAAAAATTGTAAGGGCTGGAAAAATTTAAATAAAAAGACTTTATGGGCTGATGAAATCTTCAAATAAAGCGTTTTAGCAGAAGGCAACAAAACGGAAAACATTCCTTCAATATGTACAAGTGGGAGGATAGAAAGAATACAGAAAGTTCAGAGAACGAAAGAGAAAAGAGAGAGAGAGAGAGAGAGAGAGAGACAATCAGAAGCGACATCTTTTACAGGCAATGGAAATTAACAAAACTATTTTCGTCGGATCTCTAAAACTGCCTTTGATAGAAACATCAGTTCTAACCAAAAACCAGAGAATTCTTGACACAAATATCAATCATCAGATGCAAGCTACTCATTCTAGCCGAACAAAAATAAAACATAGCCAACAGAAGGTTAGCAAAGTTTAGAAGAGCAAAACAGAAAAAAAACGTTAATAAAAATTTTTGAACATTTTAAACTTTCGAGCTTTAGCGAAAAAAATTCAAATATATGATCTCATGAACTGTTTCTGATTGACAATTTTTTTGATGAATTGACCCAATGTTTAAAATAAAGTGTATCAATGGGTAACTTTTTTATTTCGCTTAATTTTTTTTTATATTAAAAACTAAAAACCACTTTCGAAACAAAAAATTGAAAACATTTTTTTTTCGCTTCATTTCAGCTTTCATAATTGGAGAGCGCAATTCGCTCAACTTTTAGGGAAAGATATTGAATTGAATTCCAAAAGTCAAAATAAATGCATTAAAATGCATGAAAGCACTTCTGTCGTAAGAGACTTTTTTCTGGGAAAAAAAAACAAAAAAAGACCTATAGGAGCGAAAATCACTTCTTTCTTTTAGACTTGAACACACAAGCGAAGCTGCACTTCAATCACGACAAAACAGCAGTAAAAAAAGCTCTGAAAATTCAAAAAAATACGAGGATTTGTTGTTCTGACTTTCGAAGAAAACGGAATATTTATGCTCGGTGTGGTTTTTTTATTCAGTCAATTTTCGCCGATCAAAATCGTAGTTTTCAAAAAAAAATTTATACCTCATTGAAGATATTGACTTCCTGAGTTCAAAATTAAAAACATATTTCACCTTAGATTATTTTTTGTGAAGTCCTGGGGGTTTGAAAATTGCCAAATTGGCCATGTTATGCGCTAAATTATGCTCGCTTTGAAGAACTGCTGAGAGCGCAACGCGAATTATTTATGCATAGCGAATTATCCCGCACAACAAAATCGTTCCAAATTGAATTGAGGCTAGCTGATCGGATTGGTCTTATTAATTTCGTACGGCTCAACCTTTCACACTTTAATATTGTCCGCAATTTATAGGTTTTCAATATTTTCTTTTCCCAAAAACTATTCGATATGAATTAAGGGACAGTCGGAACATTCAGGGCGTTGTCCTGATATACGAGCTGTCTTGTTCAGTTTCATGCCAGTGATAATCCCGTTAAAGCTTCCGCCACTTGACCACTGATAGATTATAACTAGTAGTTTCGCACCAAGCTTTACTAACTAACAGTCAGTATTTCATGCCATGTAAAAGAGGATAAAACTCATTGCAATGAACTGTAAAAAAAAGACGATGATCTTGTGCACAAATACTTATCTAAAACAAGGAAAAGCCTTACCAGACACTTATTTCATCAAAAAATAGATACTACCAGCAACATTGTTAGAATTTCAATTCGCCACAAACGTCGTATTAAAACTACTAACAACGAAACAAAGCAAATTGAATTTCAGTTTAAAAAATTAAAAAGCAAAAAAATCAATATCACAAAACCCTCAGAGAAATTTAAGTACCTTTTCTATCGCTACTATGAAATATATTTTGTGTATAAAAATTGAACATTTATAGGCATTAAATTGGCATATCTACATATCCTCAAGTGCAGTTGTTGATGTTAAGTCGATGAAATTTTTAGTGGCAATTTGTACTTGCAAAGCAACTACAAACTTCGGATCAACCGTACAATTTTCCCGGACCAAATCGTATTAGGGGGGAGAAAATATGGATTTTTCATAAGCTAATTTAGAGTATAGCCTAGATTCGTTTAAAATTGACCATATTACTAAAGAAAATTGAATTAAAACATTAATTTGTGTAATTAACAGCATAGAAATGCAATACCGCATAAAAATTTAAAAACCAATTTAAATTGCGCGTTTGTATGAAATGCATATTATTTTTTTTCATAATTACTACATGCTTGAGCAGGGAATTCTACGGTAGGTCAATGGGCGGGGGAGGAGATTGTCTGGTTGATTCCAAAATTCGAAACCTATCGTATATCCTCGGCTTGCACAAAGCAAAATAGCATCAAATTTTGACCAAAAAATTAAATCAAAAAGTAAATGACAAAACCGTAATAAAATACAAAACTTCACTTCCTGCAATAGTTATCTTTCACACACGAGTGAACTCTAAACCCCTTAAAACAAAACGCGAGCACCTGGGTGCTTGTAAACATCCGATGGGGTTTCAATGTCCTTTTTTTGTAAAATTCATAATTAAGGACAAATTGATAATTAGTTATTTTGTGCTTGAACCTCACGTTGAGATGCTAGCTCTTAGATTTTTATGTAAACGAAATTCCTAAATAACAAGAAGGATAACTGGTTGCTGTGCAAGAAACACTAAATGCACGACCCATTCTTTCAAGAAAAAAAAACATAGAGGCGAAGCAAAATTTCGCACTACTAGCGATAAAAAACCTCGAAAAAGTCGAAAAAAACTAGATCTATTAAAATGAAAATTAATTTCAAAAAAATATGGCAAGAGAATTGAACAAAAAATTAGTATCGAATGAAACTTACCAAACGTTAACAAGGTCGAAAATATCTGGGCAGAGGTCGACGCAATATAAACTCCTTTAATATCAATCGCACAGCAGCTCATGACTCAAGAAAACAACATTCAGTAACTTATTCAATTACCATTTTCCGTATAATAAAGACAAGATTAAAAGTTAAATACTTTTTTCCTTTTCAAAGACAATTTCAAAGTAATGCTCAAAAACAAGCAAGCAGAAAGCCAATAAAACCAAAATGATTCTAAATCTAAGCTAATAATAGGCACCATTGCAGTTTAACCATGAATCAAAGAGCAGCTTAATAATAACACAAAATTTGCAAATTCTACAATAATAAAAGGAAGCAATCAATTATAGCAGCTCAAAATGAAGAATTGCTGATATGTTACTTCTTAATGAATTTTTTAACATATTCCAGTGCGTCACTCTTATACGCTTTCAAATCTTCTTTGAACTTAATATGCGCCCTCCTTTCTTTCTCATAAATGAGAAGATACTTATTGATATCCGCCACTGACATGTCCTGTTTCAAGGTCATCATGACTTGGTTCTTCAGCACTGTTGAGGCTCGTGTGATGTCAGCTTCGCTTGCAACAGCTCTCGGCGTCTGGTGATTTGTATCCACACTTGAGTTCTGCGTCACTTCTGAAGGTATTTGGCTGACGCTACTTGTACGACTCACCGAACTTATAGGCGCTATGGTACTTCTAGTATTAGGGTGAAAAGGTAAGACTCCCGGAGTCACGGCACTATCACTTGGCGCGGGTAAGGTCAAGGCACCCGCATCACTAAAAACACATTAAAACCCAGAACAAATTTATGAAGAAAATCATTCTTGAACGCCTTACAGTTCAGGACACTTTCATCGAAACCCCTTTAAAACTTGTTTTGAGCAAGAATGTTCCGATCTTTTGTAAGCATGTTTTGAGCAAGCAGTACCTAATTTCTCTGAAAGTCTTTGACTTTCCCCAAAAAATCGTAACTTTTAGATGTGCCCTATCCGCTTTCAAATTTACCCATCCTCTCTCGCTTCATACATGTTTTTGAAAAATGCACCTTTTAAAAGAAAACTTCCGAGTAGGTCAGTTTGAATGTGGCTAAATATAAACACGCGAAACAATTAATGCAGCGAGTCAAAACCCGAACCGGATTTTATCCGACTAAGTTTGCGGTGTATTTTTTACAATATACAAAATACAAATCTTCCATCGCTGTACAGAGGTTGAACACGCCAAGTCACAGTTTCTCACTTCGGTGCTAATTTACATACCATGTACGATAACATTCCAATTTTTTTATGATAAAGTTATTTTGCAGAGAACCTGATGATGATGACGCTTTCTTAAGCTTTTGGACCAACCTAATTCTTGTACTTTCCAGTCCCGGAAGAATGTTTCCTGCGATGGACACTGTAGCGTTGTGGGTTGACTGAAGCAAAGTGGCTCCAGCTTGAGTCAAACTTGTCAACGGTGCTTCGTCAAATATACTCGGCAATGTCATGTCCACCGGTCGTGACTCGTCTGTAATTGACACATTATTTATTAATTTCGCTATCAGGTCGGCAGGTAATACGCTCCTCAGGCTTTCAATCCAGGATGCTCTTTCAGCTGGGTTACTTGGTCCGTTCAAGGATTCTTGTCCTGCGAAAACGTCACTCATGCTTATAGGTAGTCCAGACGGTAACAACCCGTATCCCGTGGGAAACCCTACCAGGCCAGGGTAATTAATGGCGCCCGGCAACACACCTCCCGGGGGCGGCGACCTCATTCGCTCACGTTCCTTTTCATATTCATCCCAAGCCGCCAATTTTTCCGATTCGGACAAATCTTCATCGTTATCATCTTGCAACAAGGTATCGTGTTCGTAGAAATTGCCGATCCACTTGTCTTTGTGGTTGTAAACTATATCCGCCAACACCTTGTCATCAGGCACCATTTGTATTGGACTTTCCTCCATAGTCGGATTAAACCTGTACAATTCACCTAACTCATGATCCGTGAAGCGTCTTTCTTTCGAATTTTTGTCCACGACGCGTTCTGCAAGTGAAACCTTGACAACTTGACGATAATAAACTTTATGTTCAATCGTGCCCTGTCCTATGAACCTGTAAATATACACTTGTTTCTGCTGTCCCATTCTGTAAACTCTGAACATAGATTGAATATCCTGAGTTGGGTTCCAGGAAGCGTCGAAGACTATCACGCGGTTGGCCGAATGGAGATTGATTCCGAGGGATCCCGCCCTCGTGGAAATTATCATCAGTTTGAAATTATTATTTTTCTCATTGAATATCTTGCACAGTTGTTTTCGAGTATCAGTGGACGTTGATCCGTCGAGTCTGAAATATAATTAGGTAGTAGAGCTACAATAAGGTTTGAAAAAATCCAACGTTTTTTGTCCAACACTTTTTCGAGCGCATCAAGATGATTGATTACAGCTTTAAACTTTCTACTTCTTAATGTTTCTGCTTCATAGTTCGCAAGTTTTACCTATGACTAAAAAATCGACTGAACGCTTTAAAGCTTTTTTAAACTCAGCACATTAACAATTTGAGCTGATTAAATATAAGTAGGATAGTACTTGGACCCCATTAAAAATGGAAGAGCACAAAAAAACGAAAACCATTTCAAATAGTGAACTATTTTCAAGGAACTACAATATTGGGAGCAGCAGTCAATATAGAGAGCTAATGAAAAACGGGGGTAAAAAAATAAGTTAAAAAAAATAGTTCGAGAAATGTAGCCTAAATATTTTATTTATTATTAATTGTATACAGCATATTATTTTGTCGAAAATTCGGTTAAATTTAAACTAGCGTGTAACGCACCTCTGTTGCTTCGAAACTTTCACAACTCATGAAAAACCGCATATATTGGAAACCAGATCTGCAGGCTTTTAGTGTACTCTGACAGCACCCAATTACATGGTTGGTAATTTCATATTTTATAAAAGTTTTTAATTCCTAATTTGCGTCAAATCTCGAAAATGTCAAATCTCGAGAAGTACAAACAATTGGGTAGTCTTTTTTGAAGGCCAGATTTACAGCTCCTGGAAGTAGACAGGCAGCACCCAATTACAGGGTTGGGATATTTAAATTTAGTAACTTTTCTAAATCTAAGTTAACTGAAAATTTTGAACAAATCATAAAAAACCTCATATCTCAAAAACCTCAAGAATTTGAACAGGAATATTTGGAGGCTAGATTTGCAACCCCTGTGAGTACCCAGACAGCACCCAACTAAAGAGTTAGGAATTTCAAATTTAAAAAAATACAAAAATTGAGTTTTGTGATAAACTTTGAAAAAAATTTGAAAAAACGTCATATCTCGAAAACTACAAGGACTTGAGCAGTGATGTTTGGAAGCAACATTCTCAACTCCTGAGAAATATCTGACAGCACCCAACTACAGAACAAACTCTGATATCACCCAAGAAATTTTAAATTTGAAAACAAAAATTAATTCAAATTTTTTCAAAAAAATCACAAAAGAAGTCATATCCCGAAAACTACAAAGATTTGAGCAGTCATAATTGGAGGCAAAGTTCGCAATTGCTGAGAGTACTCCGATAGCCCCCAAGTACAGGGTTGAGAATTTCAAGTTTTGAAAAAAAATCCTTTCAAGTATTCTGAAAATGTTTTGAAAAAACCACAAAAAAACGTCATATCTGAAAACTACAAAGATTTTAGCAGTCAAATTTGGAAGCAAGATTCACAACCCCTGAGAGAGAGAGTACCCTGACAGCGCCCAACTAAAGGGTAAAGAATTTCAAACATACAAATTTTTGGAAAAATCACAAAAAACGTCGTATCTCGAAAACTACAAGGATTTGAGCAGTCATAATTGGAGGCAGGTGTTATAAAAAAAAGAAAAATAGAATAGGACAGAAAGATAGAAAAGATGAAAAAAAAAATAGGAAAAAAGACAGATAGAAGAAATAAGATAAATATAAAAAAAGGTAGAAAAAAAATCGAAAAAGATGGATAGAAAAAAGACAGAAAAAAACGAGAGAAAAAAAAATAAAAAAAGGGAAAAAAAGTTAGAAAAAAGATAGAAAGAGAAGAATCGAAAAAAAAACAAAAAAGATGTAAAAAAGATAAAAAAATCGAAAAAGATGGATCGAAAAAAGACAGAACAAAAGATAGAAAACATCGAAAAACAAGGCTCGAAAAAAAAGAAAAAAGATCGAGAAAGAAGGATCGAAAAAACACAGAAAAAAAATATAGAAAAGATCAAAAAGAAGGATCGAAAAAACACAGAAAAAAAAATATAGAAAAGATCAAAAAGAAGGCTCAAAAAAAAGATAGAAAAAAGCTAGAACAGAAAAGATCGATGAAGAAGGATCGAAAAAAAGACAAAATATGTAAAAAAAGAAAAAAAATCGAAAAAGATGGATCGAAAAAAAAACAGAAAAAAAAGATAGAACAAAAGATAGAAAAAATCGAAAAAGAAGGCTCGAAAAAAGATAGAAAAAAACATCGACAGAGAAGGATCGAGAGAATACAGAAAAAAAGATAAAACAAAAGATAGAAAAGATCGAAAAACAAGGCTCGAGAAAAAAAGTAAAAGATATAAAAATAACGAGAAAGAAGGATCGAAAAAAGACAGAAAAAAAGATAGAAAAGGAAGGATCGAAAAGAAGACAGAAATAAATATAGAAAAGATCAAAAAGAAGGCTCAAAAGAAAAGATAGAAAAAAAACTAGAACAGAAAAGATCCATAGAGAAGGATCGAAAAAAAGACAAAAAAAAAGATGTAAAAAAAGATCGAGAAAGAAGGATCGAAAAAAGACAGAAAAAAAATAGAAAAAGAAGGATCGCAAAAAAAACATAACAAAGATTAAAAAAGCAAAAAAGAAGGATAAAAAAAAGACAAAAAGATAGAAAAAAAGACACAAAAAAAAGATTCAAAAAAAGATAGAAAAAGAAGGGTCGAAAAAAAACAGAAAAAAGATAGAAAAAAAGCGAAAAAGAAGGATCGAAAAAAAAGATAGATCGAAAAGATCGAAAAAACAGGATCGAAAAAAAGACAAAAAAAAGAAAAAAGGGAAAAAGAAGATCGAAAAAAAGGCGAAAAAAGATGTAAAGAAGATGGATAAAAAAGACAGAAAAAAAAAGATAGAAAAAAAAGATAGAAAAAGAAGGATCGACAAAAAAACAGAAAAAAGTTAGAAAAAAAGGCGAAAAAGAAGGATCGAAAAAAGGACAAAAAGATAGAAAAAAAAGATCAAAAAAGAGACACAAAAAAGCTGAAAAGAAGGATCGAAAAAAAAGACAAATAAAGACAGAAAAAAGCGAAAAAGAAGAATCGAAGAAAAGACAAAAAAAAAAGAAAAAAAATCGAAAAACAAGGATCGACAAAAAACACAAAAAAAATGTAAAAAAAGATCGAAAAAGATGGATCGAAAAAAGAACAAGAAGGATCGAAAAAAAAGACAAAAAAAGATGTTAAAAAAGACAGAAAAAAATTTAAAAAAGAAGCATCGAAAAATAAAGGCAGAAAAAAAGATGGAAAGAGCAAAAAAGAAGGATCGACAAAAGTCACAAAAAAAGCCAGAAAAAGAAGGATAAAAAAAACAGAACAAAAAAGAAAAAAAGGGAAAAAGAAGATCGTAAAAAAAGACAAAAAAAGATGTAAAGAAGATGGATAAAAAAAGACAGAAAAAAAGATAGAAAAAGAAAGATCGACAAAAAAACAGAAAAAAGTTAGAAAAAAGGCGAAAAAGAAGGATCGAAAAAAGGACAAACAGATAGAAAAAAAGATCAAAAAAGACACACAAAAAAGATAGAAAAAAAAAGATAGAAAAAGAAGGATCGAAAAAAAAGGAAAGTTAGAAAAAAAAGCTTAAAAGAAGGATCGAAAAAAAAACAGAAAAAAGCGAAAAAGAAGAATCGAAAAAAAGACAAAAATCGAAAAACAAGGATTGACAAAAAACCCAAAAAAAAGATGTAAAAAAAGATCAAAAAAGATGGATCGAAAAAAGAACAAGAAGGATCGAAAAAAAAGACAAAAAAAAGATGTAAAAAAAGACAGAAAAAAGATTTAAAAAAGAAGCATCGAAAAAGAAAGGCAGAAAAAAAGATGGAAAAAGCAAAAAAAAAGGATCGACAAAAGTCACAAAAAAAGCTAGAAAAAGAAGGATAAAAAAACAGAAAAAAAAACAGAAAAAAAAAAAGAAAAAGGGAAAAAGAAGATCGAAAAAAAGACAAAAAAAGATGTAAAGAAGATGGATAAAAAAAGACAGAAAAAAAGATAGAAAAAGAAAGATCGACAAAAAAAACAGAAAAAAGTTAGAAAAAAAGGCGAAAAAGAAGGATCGAAAAAAGGACAAACAGATAGAAAAAAAGATCAAAAAAGACACACAAAAAAGATAGAAAAAAAAGATAGAAAAAGAAGGATCGAAAAAAAAAAGGAAAGTTAGAAAAAAAAGCTTAAAAGAAGGATCGAAAAAAAAACAGAAAAAAGCGAAAAAGAAGAATCGAAAAAAAGACAAAAATCGAAAAACAAGGATTGACAAAAAACCCAAAAAAAAGATGTAAAAAAAGATCAAAAAAGATGGATCGAAAAAAGAACAAGAAGGATCGAAAAAAAAGACAAAAAAAAAGATGTAAAAAAAGACAGAAAAAAGATTTAAAAAAGAAGCATCGAAAAAGAAAGGCAGAAAAAAAGATGGAAAAAGCAAAAAAAAGGATCGACAAAAGTCACAAAAAAAAGCTAGAAAAAGGAGGATCGAAAAAAAAAACAGAAAAAAAAAGATAAAAAGCAAAAAAAAAGAAGGAACGAGAAAAAAAAGATACAAAAAAGCGAAAAGAAGGATCGAAAAAAGACAAAAAAGATAGAAAATGAGATCGAAGAAGAAGGATCGAAAAACAGACGAAGAAAAAGATAGAAAAAAAGAGAAAAAGAAGGATCGAACAAAACAAAAAAAGGATGTAAAATAAGATAGAAAAAAAATATCGAAAAAAATGGATCGAAAAAAGACAGAAAAAAAACATAGAACAAAAGATAGAAAAGATCGAAAAAAAACAGAAAAAAAGAAAGAAAAAAAGATCGAGAGAGAAGGATCGAAAAAAGACAGAAAAAAAAGAAGCATCGAAAAAGAAAGACAGAAAAAAAGTCACAAAAAAGATAGAAAAAGAAGGATTGAAAAAAAAGACAAAAAAGATAGAAAAAAAGCGAAAAAACAGGATCGAAAAAAAGACAAAAAAAGATAAAAAAAGATCGAAAAAGAAGGATCGAAAAACAGAAAAAGATAGAAAAAAAAGAGAAAAAGCAGGATGGAAAAACAGACAAAGAAAAAGATAGAAAAAAAAGACAGAAAAGAAGGATCGAAAAAAAG